CTACTCTCTCTCTCTCTCTCTCTCTCTCTCTCTCTCTCTCTCTCTCTCTCTCTCTCTCTCTCTCTCTCTCTCTCTCTCTCTCTCTCTCTCTCTCTCTCTCTCTCTCTCTCTCTCTCTCTCTCTCTCTCTCTCTCTCTCTCTCTCTCTCTCTCTCTCTCTCTCTCTCTCTCTCTCTCTCTCTCTCTCTCTTATTCCTGTATAATCGTTTTGATTCGAATCAATAGATGTGTAACTGCGATTCCCATTCCCCAATCGATTCATTTTTTTCTTCTTCTTATCGTTCCGTAAGAGTATCGATAGAGATCACTAAGTCTAAGACTATGATTTATAATCATTTGAATTGGATCATCTCAATTACTGTATATGACTTCAATTTTGGTTTTTTGGGTAATCGATGTTGTAGCAATTTTGGAGTCCAAGCAGTATCAATAAGAACAAAGCTATGGTTGAGAATCTGCAAAATCATGGTATTGTTACGTCTGATGAAGTTGCTAAAGCTATGGAGGTTGTTGATAGAGGTGTGTTTGTGCCTGATCGTTCCTCTGCTTATGTTGATAGCCCAATGTCTGTTGGGTATAATGTGACTATATCAGCTCCTCATATGCACGCAATGTGTCTTCAACTTCTTGAAAAGCATTTGAAACCGGGAATGCGTGTTCTTGATGTCGGCTCGGGTTTGCTTTTCTCTCTTGGATTGTCTTTTTACTTTCAGTATATCGTATTTGTTTGGTTTTTTGAGGAGGGATGAATATGCATGTGATTAAATTTTCGTAGGTACTGGGTACTTGACGGCTTGCTTTGCGGTTATGGTTGGATCCGAAGGGCGAGCTATCGGTGTTGAACACATACCTGAACTGGTGGCTTCTTCTGTTAAGAATATTGAAGCAAGTGCTGCTTCGCCATTGCTGAAAGAAGGGTCTCTTGCTGTTCATGCTGGTGGTGAGCTTCGATTCAAGTTTTTGAGATTTTTTTTGATGTTTTCTTTTTTAACATTGCTGGTTTAATGAGTTTCTTGTTCGTTTGAAATTAGATGGGAGGCAAGGATGGGCTGAGTTTGCCCCTTATGATGCTATTCATGTCGGAGCAGCAGCACCAGAGATTCCAGAGGCATTGATTGATCAATTGAAACCTGGTGGGAGACTGGTGATACCGGTTGGAAACATATTCCAAGATCTGCAAGTGGTGGATAAGAACTCAGATGGTTCAGTTAGCATCAAGAGCGAAACTTCAGTTCGTTATGTTCCTTTGACTAGCCGTGAAGCCCAGCTGAGAGGAGACTGATGAATGCTCGTTGTAAAGAAGAATGGATCAAGTAAGCTTAGTTGGATTTCGAAATTAGCGTAGTTAGTCAAGAACCCGAATCCTTAAGCTCTCTTTGTGAGTAAGACTTACAAATGAGGAAACTTGTTTGTGTACACGTAAACATAATAAACCATTTATATATAATGCCTCCATTAAGTAGTAGATGATGCAATGGCGTAAAGAGGAAACAAGCGGTGAATTACCATACCGGTTGATTCAGCAACACTGGTATGATCTTCCGTACATTCAACTGGTAATCTCCAATCACACTGATGCACTAAGTTAGCCAAAGCCACCTCAATTAAGACCACAGCGAATGATATTGCTGGGCAAATCCTTCTTCCCGCTCCAAATGGAATCAGCTCAAAATTCCGACCCCGGAAATCAACAGATGAATCTAAATGTCTCTCCGGTCTAAACTCCTCCGCGTCTGGTCCCCACGTTGCAGCCTCTCTCCCGATCGCCCAAAGATTGATCATTACCTGTGTACCAGTAGGTATGTTGTAGTGTCTTAATCTAACATCTTGTGTTGATTCGTGAGGAATCATCAATGGAAGTGGAGGATGTAACCTCATTGTCTCTTTGATCACAGCTTTTAAGTAGTTCATGTCTTGAATGTCTTCTTCTGATACACTTGATTTACCTTTACAAATCTTACGGACTTCTTTTTGGAGTCTGTTCATACACTCTGGGTGACGAAGAAGCTCTGTCATTGCCCACTCCATAATCGCGTAAGATGTATCTGTACCACCTACAACAATATCCTGAAAAGGGAAAACCAAAATAAGAGCTACAGATATAAACTAAAACATAGATGAATATGAATCATAGCCTTTATGCTTAACCAGTCAATTTCAAACCCGGTGCTCTTCTCTCTCTGAACTGACAGCAGCACATCCACAAAATCAGCCCTATGTCCATCGCCATCTACATGATCTTTGACAACTCTCTCCAGGAATTCATCAAGATCATTGGCTGTCTTTTTTAGCTTTCCATCCAAACCACAGATCCAATCAATCCATGCAAGCCACGGTACATAAGTTCCCACACTAAACTCGCCCAGTAGCCTCGTGAGCCTTTTCATTAACTCCTTCAAATCCGTTTCACTGCTGTATTTCCATCCCAAAGCAACTCTGGATATCACATCGCTAGTTAAACTCACCAATAGCTCGCTTAGATTCATAGGCAAAGAACTTGATTTATGGATCTTCTCCATCATCAGACTGATCTCTTCTTGTCTCACGTTTCGAAAGGACCTGACCATTTTGTTGCTGAGGAGCTGGAGGACGCACACACTCTTCATTTGCCTCCAATACTCTCCATAAGGTGCTAAGGCCACATCACACACGTCATAAAAGAGCATGTCGAAGATTTTTGACTGTGGACGGCTAGCAAAAATGCGGTCATGCGTCTTCAAAATTTCTCGAGCCACATGTGCGGAAGAAACTACAAGAACGGGGACACGACCAAAGTGAAGGAGCATGAGAGGACCGTAATGGTTGCTGAGAGAGCACAGTGATCGGTGAGGGTGGCGGCCAAGCTGATGAAGGTTTCCAATCAACGGAAGTCTCGGTGGTGACGGAGGTGTGTTCCTTTTCTTTCTAGTCATCTGTTTTATGAAGAAGAGAATGGTAATGAAGGTTGTTGAACTTAGAAGTATTATCGTCATCATCATTTCCATGTTGGGATTCTTCAAGTTCTCCAAGACTTTTTTTTCTTTTCTTTTCAAAGACTTTCTAGTAAAACTTCTTAAAAAATTTAGTGTTCCTAAATATGATAGTCCTATAGATAGACAAATTGTTCGAATCTGCTAAGGTCGAAATCTGTATGGGTGGTGCATACGGAATGAACCACAAAATTCCCAGACTAGGCCTTTTGGACTTATGTATACAAGCCAAGTTTCTCCTGGGACCAAAACTATTGTCCACTCAAAATTTGCTAACATGGATAATTAAATTTGTCATATATACGTGAGCATGCATGCTAGAAATGAAATGATGAGTATCCGAGATCTTATAGTTCAATGAGTTCTTGCTTGTTTCAATTGGGAAGGGGACTGATGATGCTTCTTTTTGTACAGAACAATGAATCAAGTAAGCTCATATGGGTTTTTAAATTAGTTAAGGAAGTAAGGAACCAGAGACTTTAAAATCTCAAACATCTTTTTGCAAACAACACTTTCAAATGAGTAAACATGTTTATTGTAGAATAACATAATACTAAGTATATATATGACTAGGAAGGGTTCTTAGTCAAGTACAGTAGTAGATGATGCAATGACATAAAGAGGGTCCATGCGGCGAATCACACTACCAATTGATTCAGCAACATCAGTCTGATCCTCTGTAGATTGCCAATCAAACCCATGCACTAAGTTAGCCAAAACCACCTCATTCAACACCACAGCAAATGATATTCCAGGGCACATCCTTCTCCCTGCTCCAAATGGAATCAGCTCAAAATCTTGACCCCGGAAATCAGCAGAAGAATCTAAATGCCTCTCCGGTCTAAACGCGTTCTCGTCTGGTCCCCACGTTGCAGCCTCTCTACCGATCGCCCAAAGATTGACTACAACTTGAGTACCTGCAGGTACGTAGTTATCTCTTAACTTGACATCGTCTCTTGATTGGTGAGGAACCATCAATGGGACTGGAGGATGTAGCCTGAGTGTCTCTTTAACCACAGCTTTTAAGTATTTCATGTCTTTAACGTCATCTTCAGAAACACTTGATTTGCCCTTACAGATTGTACGGACTTCATCTTGAAGCCTTTTCATACACTCTGGATGACCTAAAAGCTCTGTCATTTCCCATTCCACTAGTGTGGAAGATGTGTCAGTACCACCCACAAAAGCATCCTAAAACGTTAAATCCAAAAGAAAAAAAATGGTTATATATATATACTGAAACATTGGACATATATGTGAAAATGTGATTTCTCTTACCAATATGATTGCCTTAATGCTGGACCGGTCGATTTCAAACCCGACGCTGTTCTCTCTCTGAACTGCGAGTAATACATCGACGAAATCAGCCTTATTGCCGTCACCATCTTCATGATCTTGCACAATCCTCTCCAAGAGCTTATCAAAATCATTTGCGGTCTTTTCTAGCCGAGCTTCCAAACCGCTGATCCAATCAATCCACCCAAGCCACGGTACAAAGCTCCCGACAGTATACGTACCCAACTGCCTCATGAGCCTGTCTATCATCTCTTTAAAATCTGTTCCAACACCGTATTTGCGTCCCAAAGCGACACGACAGATAACATCGTTAGTTAAACACGACAAGATCTTGGTTAGATTCATAGGCGAAGAACCCGATTCTCGGATCTTTTCCATCATAAGACCGATCTCTTCTTGTCTCACTTGTCTATAGGACCCTACCATTTTGTTGCTGAGGAGATGGATGACACTCACACTCTTCATTTGTCTCCAGTACTCTCCATAAGGAGCTGATGCCATATTACGGCTATTGTAAAGAAGCTTTTCGAAGATCTTTGACCGCGGACGGCTCGCAAAAACGGCATCATGCGTCTTTAAAATGTCTCGAGCCGCTTCTGCTGTAGAGGCTACGATAACGGGGACACTTCCGAAGTGGAGGAGCATGAGAGGACCGTAACGGTGGCTGAGATAGCATAGTGATCGGTGAGGATGTTGGCCGAGCTGATGAAGGTTTCCGATCAACGGAAGTCTCGGTGGGGATGCAAAGGTGTAGCTATTCTTCCCTGTCGTCTGCTTTTTGAAGAAGAGAATTGTTATGAAAACTATTAAGCATAAGAAAAGTATCATCATCATCATATTTTGTAAATTTTCGATTCTTCAAGTTTTTCTCGTGAAGTCTCTCTTAAGATTTTTTCTGTTCTTCTATGTGGACATGGCCACTTGGGTCATATATAAGCCAAGTTTCTTCTATGCGTTACATAAAGTTATTGTCCACTCATATTTGATTCTGTTTTGCTTAAATAGGAAAATAATTTTGATTTAAAGGTATCAAATCTCCTCTATGTAGTAAGACACCCAATCACAGTTGACACGTAATTTTTTTTTTTTTTTGCTACTTTAAGATAAGAAGATTACTAAAATCTATCTTTTACTATTATGATTTTTCAAATACCTTATGTGTTAGATTTTTATTTTAGCTACAAAATCCACAAAAATTATTTATTTCCTAAAAATATATCCCTTTTGTTTATATCTCAAATAACACCCAACAACAGTAGTAGTACAGTATATTGTAGTACCATTGTGTAACAAATAGAAAAAAAAATTAAAAAAAAAACAAATGTAATAACCAAATTAAAAATAAAAAAGAGAGGTCCTAAACCGGTATACCTTCTGCGGTTCTGCCCAAACATTATAGTGCTCGTCGTCTTTGCTTGATGACGTGGTGATGAACCAATGATGATAACTCAAGAGGTCCTTGCAGTGCCCACTGCCCATGAACATATTCTAAGATTTTCAAGTGGTGAGTTCAAGAACTTGGATGCTTCGTTCGCATCAAGAGCGAAACGTCATGTCCGTTACGTTCTTTTGACTAGCCATTAAGCCAACCTAAGAGAGAGACTAATAAATTTTATTTTGCAGAAGAATGAATCAAGTTAATTAACTCACTTGGCTCTCTAAATATGTGTAGCTAGTTACTCATGAACTCAAATCTCAATGATCTCTTAGCTACTAAGAGTTTCAAATCATATATATAAAAGTAAGGTTTCACTCTCTCCTTATTGGTGGAAAAATATTTAAGGCTTTAATTTTTTTTTAAAAATAAATAATAAATGTTTATGACAATCATTCAATACAAAATTTAATTACACTATAAGTTATAATCAAATGGTAAATAAAATGAAAGGACTTAATCATATATCATTCAAAAAAATAAATAAATAAATAAATGTTTATGACAATCATTCAATACAAAATTTAATTATACTATAAGTTATAATCAAATGGCAAATAAAATGAAAGGATTTAATCATATATCACACAACAAATTTTATAAGGCTTATTGGTGGAAATTTATTTAAAATCATATATATAAAAGTAAGGTTTCACTCTCTTTATTGTTCCATTTTGTATTTATTTTTTAAAATATAATATTTATTTTTAATTAAACCAAAAAAACATATTTAACCATATACATTAATTCATACTTTAAATTCACACTTTACTACTAAAATGAAACTGAAAATTATATAAATTTACAAAGACTATTGGTTTTCTTTATTGAATTCCAATTAAACACACTATAAATTATAATTATAACTCCTCTAATTTCATTATTTTAAAAATGTAACTTACATCACTTCTTATCATATAAATAGTCATTCTCACATCCTTCTCTACCATATCTCATATCTTCATTATTCTCTTTGTTTTTTTTTTTAAATTTCTTGCATGGGGTGAAAACTCATTTAAAATATCATTGTAAGAGTTTGATTAATTATTTAGTTTAAACATTTGTTTTCAAATTTATTTATTTTTTGTTTTTATGTATTTCTTTATGTCTTCATTGTTTTTTATATTTTTAAATGTAATACATATGTATAATAATATTTTATGGTTATAAGAAAATCAAGCTAAAGAAATCATCTTCATTATTTTACATTGGATGTTTGTTTCTTTCTCACATATTCATGTATATTTATTTTAATTTCAAAAGTATGTAATTTTTTAACAAAATAAACTTTTTGTTATATAATTATCAAACCAATTTGTAAGACATTCTTTTAAGAATAATGATCCTTATATTTAGTTTGTGATTCAACATGTAATAATATAAACAACATTATAATTTTTTTAAACTTTGAATTTTATACTTGATTTCCTGTATTAAATACAATTTGATATTCAATTTTCTATCTATTATATATACTACAACGATGACAAATATAATTAAACCTAGAGATATAGCTTAAATTAAGAGGAATATATAAACAAATTAAAAAAATAAAATTATTCGTTGGGAATTTTTTAAGGTTTATCCTTATTGGTCCATTTAGCATTTAGTTTTCAATTATAATATTTATTTTTAATTAAACCAAATATCTAACACATTTAGTCATATACTTTAATTCATACTTGAAATCCACGCTTTACTATTAAATTGTAACTTAAATTATATAACCTTTCAATTGACTATTTGTTTGCTCTATTCAATTTCAAGTAACACACTATAAAATATAATTAACTCCTCTAATTTAATTATTTTAGAATTATAACTTACATCATATTTTATCCTATAAATACTCATTTTTACATCCTCCTCCACCATATCTGATATTCTTAATATTTTCTTTGTTTAATTTTTAATGTTCTTGCATGGGTTGAAAGCTCAAATTAAGATATCATTGTAAGAGCTTGATTATATATTTGGTTAAAATTTTTGTTTTCAGTTATATTTCTTCTTTATTTTATGTACTTCTTCCTTTTTTCATTGTTTTTTATACTATTAAATATATAATACATTTTTTTAAAAAAAAAATATATATAATACATATGTATAATAATATTTTATGGCTATAAGGAAATTACTTTATCAATGAGATTCAAAAATATTGATTTCTGACCATCGCACCATAAGAGAATCAAGCTAAATAAACCATCTTCATTGTTTTACTTTATATGTGTTTTTCTTTCTCACAAATTCATGTATATTTATTTTATTTTCAAAGTGTGTAATTATTTTAACAAAATAATTTTTGGTTACATTCAAACCAATTTGTAAGACATTGAAATAAATAAAATTTTATACACAAATAAAGGTAATTTGTGTGTATATTTATAAGTTTACACACATATATGGATAAATTTTAACATTTTTAGTGGTTGGTTTGATAAAGTTTGAAAATGGGGTAAATTTAAAAAGTGGTATTTTTAAAAGGGTATTTTTTAAATTCTCCCAATATCATTCCTATTTTTATTATTAACAATATTATTGTTTTATCAAAAAATACTTAAAATCACTAAAGAAAATTACTATCAAAATTGAACAATTAATCAACGAATAAATTCAAAAAATATGGATGTATGCTTCTATTGTATGATTTAAATAAATAAAATGTAAAAATGTCATAAACATTAAAATTTATTTAATCTATTTTTATAAGTAATAAATAAATTAAAATAATTAAATAAATATACAACAACCCGCGCATGTGCGCGGGACATTACCTAGTAATATATAAAGCTTTGGTATGTATATTATAGAAAGATATATAAGAAGCTAGATTCACAAATATTATTGTCAAATACTTTATCATGATATGAAGATATTTATGTGCTTGTGTCTATCAAGTTCATAAGATATATTTCATTTATTTTACCTATGTACTCTTAATCATTATTCTTATATATGAAAGAAAATACACACATCTTCCCTCTCATCATTTTATCATATATAAAATGCCTTATTCAAGTTGTAGATGATGCAATGGCATAAAGAGGGAGCATACGGTGAATTGTATTTCCAGTTGATTCAGCAACACCAGTTTGAACTTCGGTAGATTCAACCGGTAATATCCAATCGAATCGTTCCACTAAGCTAGCCAAAACTACCTCATTCAGCACCACAGCGAATGATATTGCTGGGCAAATCCTTCTTCCTGCTCCAAACGGAATCAGCTCAAAATCCTGACCTCGGAAATCCACACACGAGTTTAAATGTCTCTCCGGTTTAAACTCTTCCGCGTCTGGTCCCCACGTCGCAGCCTCTCTCCCGATCGCCCAAGCATTGATCATAACCTGTGTACCGGCAGGTATGTGGTACTCTCCTAGTTTTACATCTTGTGTTGATTCATGAGGAACCATCAAAGGAAGTGGAGGATGTAGCCTCATTGTCTCTTTGATCACAGCTTTTAAGTATTTCATTTCTTGAATGTCTTCTTCTATTACACGCGATTTTCCCTTACAAATTGTACGAACTTCTTCTTGAAGTCTGCTCAGACACTCTGGATGATGTAGAAGCTCTGTCATTGCCCATTCCATAAGTGCGTACGAGGTGTCCGTACCACCCACAAAAATATCCTACAAACCAAAACAAACACTACAGTTATATATCTTAAAAATTAGAACAACCATTAAATTCGAATTTGATTTCTTGTTTTTCCATTTACCAAGATGACCGCCTTTAGGCTGACGCGGTCGAACTCAAACCCCATACTATTTTCTTTCTGAATGGCGAGCAATACATCCACATAATCATTCCTATCGCGGCTAACATCTACATGATCTTGCACAACTCTCTCAAAAAACTCATCAAGATCAGTCCTCGTCTTTTCTAGCTCATCATCCAAACCGGAGATCCAACCAAACAATGCAAGACACGGTACAGTACTCTCCACACTAAACGCCCCTAATAGCCTTGTAAGCCTCTTCATTAACTCTTTAAAATCCAGTTCACCGCCATATTTTCGTCCCAAAGCAACTCTACATATCACATCGTTCGTTAAACTAGCCAATATCTCGCTTAGATTCACTTGCAACGAACTCGACTTCTGGATCTTCTCCATCATCAGACTGATCTCTTCTTGTCTCACGTCTCAAAAGGATCGTACCATTTTTTTGCTGAGCAAACTGATGACGCACACACTCTTCATTTGTCTCCAGTACTCTCCATAAGGAGCTAAGGACACATCATGCCTATCGTAAAGAAGCTTCTCGAATATTTTAGACCGTGGACGGCTAGCAAAAACGCGATCATGCGTCTTCAAAACGTCTTTAGCCATATCGGCTGAAGACACTACAAGAACCGGGACACGACCAAAGTGGAGGAGCATGAGGGGACCGTAACGTTGGCTGAGAGAGCATAGTGATCGGTGAGGGTGACGACCGAGCTGGTGAAGGTTTCCAATCAATGGAAGTCCTGGTGGTGACATTGGCGTGTTGCTTTTCGTCCTTGAAATTTGGTTTTTGAAGAAGATAATGGTAATAGAGATTATTGAGAATAGGAGAAGTATCATGATCATCGTTTCCATTTTTGGATTCTTCAAGATTTGTTCTCGTACCCAGTCTTTTATCAAATTTTGTGTTTATAAAATATTTTAGGATTCTTTATGTATATATAGAAGCCCAAGCCTACTAGTACTACTGTCGAAGCCATGTTTTTAAAGATTTTGTTTTCTTTGACATAAACAATTTTTAAGATTAATAATGTGTTCCTCGTTTGGATTTTATGTATACAAAGCCAAGTTTGTTTCTCTAAGGACCAAAGTCAAGCACTGATAACAAAATATGATGAAGTATTGTCCCTCTCGACAAATCGATTATATTGAAGGTTGAATCTTTCGAAGTGCCGTCCTAGTTTGAATAAGCTCGGTGTACAAAGTTATCTTTGAGGATCAGGGTTTCTTATCTAGTTATCTTCATCTCACAGTTCTAGGGAGATACTGACATCAGTCACAAAACAAAGTAGTTATGTATACGTAACTGTGTTTTTTTTTCTTCTTCTAAATTATACGGTGATTGATATTCCAATTTCCAAGTGTACAACTTTTGAATATATAAATAACTCAACCTTATTTTTTTAAAAAAAAAACCTTCGATAGTTTCATAAGAAATCAGACTTGAGCAATATATGCATTATGCATGCATGCTTGGAATGAAATTTATCATTCGAGATCCGACTTGCATGCAATCCAAAATTTCTCCGATTCGGTTCAAAACTTTTGATATTCGGGAGGTAGATCATGCCCCCAGTATATATATATATATATTTTTTTTTTTGAAATAACTTAATATGTCATTTTCACAAATATTTTATTATTTGTTATAAAAAAGAAACAAAGTTCACACCAAAAAAAAAGAGAAAGAAACATAGTTCACACCAAAAAAAAAGAAAGAAACAAAGTTTGTTGACCTAGTGATTTAATGTTTTTAAAGGCTTCTACAAAGTCTAAGATTAACCCATTTATGTCTCCAATGGAACAGAGACATGATATATATTGCCTACGAGTTAACTTTTTCCTTCAAATCGTAGCATCACAAAATAATTAAAATTCATTTGAACTTAAATCTTCTTATACACTTCTAACAAGGCATATATATGCAACGCCCAAATATATTTCACACCATTCACCAAAAAAAAAAAAAAACACCTAAGTCAAGTAGTAGATGATGCAATGGAGTATAGTGGGAACATGCGGTGAACCGCAAGACCAATTGATTCAGCTACATCAGTATGATATTCTGTAGATTCGACAGGTAGTCTCCAATCAAACTGATGAACTAAGTTAGCCAAAACCACCTCATCCAAGACCACAGCAAATGATATTGCTGGGCAAATCCTTCTCCCTGTTCCAAATGGAACCAACTCCGTATCTTGACCTCGGAAATCAACAGACGAGTTTAAGTGTCTCTCTGGTTTAAACTCCTCCGCGTCTGGTCCCCATGTTGCAGCCTCTCTCCCGATCGCCCAAGCATTGATCATTACCTGTGTACCCGCGGGTATGTGGTAATCTCTTAGTTTGACATCTTGTGTTGATTCGTGAGGAACCATCAATGGAAGTGGAGGATGTAGTCTCAGTGTCTCTTTGATCACAGCTTTTAAATATTTCATTTCTTGAATGTCTTCTTCTGATACACGTGATTTGCCCTTACAAATCGTACGGACTTCTTCTTGAAGTCTTTCCAAACACTCTGGGTGATGTAGAAGCTCTGTCATTGCCCATTCCAAAAGAGCGTATGTTGTGTCCGTACCACCCACAAAAACATCCTGAAAAGCAGAAAACCAGAAACAAAAACTATGGTTATTATCTACTAATTAACTCATCAATATATAAATCTGAATTTGTTTCCTTCTCTTACCAAGATAATTGCTTTTATGCTTAACCGGTCAATTTCAAACCCCACGCTCTTCTCTCTCTGAATTGTGAGCAGTACATCAACAAAATCAGTCCTATGGTCATGTCCATCCCCATCTACATGATCTTGGACAACTCTCTCCAAGAATTCATCAAGATCGTTGCTTAACTTTATAAGCTGACCATCCAAACCGCGGATCCAGTCAATCCATGCAAGCCATGATACATAGCTCCCGACACTAAACTCGCCCAATAGCCTTGTAAGCCTCTTCATTAGCTCCTTAAAATCTGTTTTACCGTGGTATTTCCTTCCCAAAGCAACTCTACATATTACATTGTTTGTTAGATTTGCTAAGATCTCGCTTAGATTAATCCGCAAAGAACTCGATATCCGGATTTTCTCAATCATCAGGCTGATCTCTTCTTGTCTCACATCTCGAAAAGACCGCACCATTTTATTGCTGAAGAGCTGGAGGACGCACACACTTTTCATTTGCCTCCAATACTCTCCATAAGGAGCCAAGGCCACATCTCTCCCGTCATAAAAAATCTTATTAAAGATTTTAGACCGAGGACGGCTAGCAAAAACGCGGTCGTGCGTCTTCAAAACTTCTTGAGCCATGTCCGCGGAAGAGACTACAAGAACGGGGACATGACCAAAGTGAAGGAGCATGAGAGGACCGTAACGGTGGCTGAGAGAGCATAGTGATCGGTGAGGGTGACTGCCAAGCTGATGAAGGTTTCCAATTAACGGAAATCTTGGTGGTGACGGAGGTGTGTTGTGTTTCTTCTCACTCGACTGTTTTTTGAAGAATAGAATGGTCATGAAAATTATTGAGCATAAGAGAAGTATCATGATCATCATTTCCATCTCTGGATTTTTTCAAGATTTTATCTTGTGAAAAGTCTTTTAATGTCTTCAAGATATCATATATGTGAAGGATATCAATTCTGAAAGGGATGGATTTTTTGTAAGGATAGACAGATTCCCATATTCGAGTCGCCAAATTAGACACGGTCTTGAGTCTCTTGTCTTTTAAATACTTTTGTCACTTTCTCATTCATGTGTTAACATTTTAAATTTTACAGGTTCCCATGGTTTGCCCTTGTCTTTTCCTCCTCTCTAGTAAATAGTAAGCCCTAGATTTTTCTTTAGTTTGATGCCAGTTTTACGCGCACGAAAATCTTGCTGTGAATCAAAAAATCTTATACACTCCATAGCAATTAAAGAAAAATAACCTTTTTTTTTGAAGTATTCCTTCAGACTTCCGTACGTAATAAACTTGGATGTCAATTGTAGCGGCTTGCATATGTGAGATTCTATTTGCAGTAGGACAATAGGGTTTTCAATTCTTTCTCTACTCACATACCTATGGATTTTATGCTATTTCTGACGCATGTGTGTGATTGATTTGTGATATATAGCAATAGGACAATACCAATTCATCATGTGATTGGTTTGGTGGTTATTAGAGAACAAGTGTGATGGGATAATATGTTTTATTTAACTCTTAGATGAATATATAACTCTTGATGAGTTCTAACGCACTTGTTTTTTATTTTATTTTAGGACTGACTTTTGTGGGATGGGATAATTCCCATAATATGTGTTCTTCTCGTGCCCTTTGGCTAGGTTGAAAGAGAGTAACAACAATTTTATCAAATTAAAAGTCTGTCAAATTTTCTATTTTACGGATTAAAATCATGAGCCCAAATAATAAAGGCCCACTAGACAACCGAACACTAGGGATCTGTTTGTTTCCCTTGATTTCCAAGTTTTACAATTTAGATCTCCGAGTCGTTCCTTCTTTGCAACTTCAAGGCGATTATGGCGGCGGGGTTGTTCCTTCCCGGGTGAGGTATGCTATTCTCTTTTTCCTCTTTGAAACCCTAACGAGTTGTCTTATTTTTCCTATATGATTTTATGTTAAAATTCGGGAACTCTGATTTTAATGTTTCTTGTAGAAAACAAAAATGTCTTGTGCATGATTTGCAATCGGGGCAAATATGTCGGATAAAGATCCAGACGATGTTGTTATCACTGAGCTACCGAGGTCGGATTTTTTTCTTGAGACAAGGGCAATTGCGGTTTCAGGGACCATAATGTGGAGAATGAAACTTTCAACCTCTTGAGGAGTTCAGACCCTTATCACGCTTTATCCCAGAAGAAGCTTACTTAATACCGTTCACTCATACAAGATGGTATCAAACTTGATGCTCTTCCGCGTGTTTTTCATGCACTACCAAATCTGTTAAAGCGTTCTGAAAAGCTTAGCTTGTAGGAAGGCTGTCCTTGAGGGTTTTTTCGAGCATGTTGGATTGGAGAAGCAAGACGAGGGAGTGGAGATGGCTATCAGTGATGATTTGCATGCTTTGGCGAAATGTGTTGATTATTTTTTTTCACATGGAGGAAGATGAGCCTTCTGCTTCCACGTGAACACCTTCGAATGCAGCCTTGTATGCCTCCACCCCCTCCACTGGGACCTGGTGGTCTGCTTCAGTTACCTTCAATGGGGTTGCATGCAACCACCACCTGTGGAGCCTCTTCTTGAGGAACCAGAGCCAAAGAGACCTTGTGAACTATATCAAAACAGTAGTTCCAACAAAGATAAGTATATCATGATCATCATTTTCATCTCTGAATTTTTCAAGAAATATCTTGTGAAAAATATTTTAAGAAAAATTGATAAAATGAAAAGAGTAGTAAAACAGCAATATCCGGAAGAGCAAGATTTACTAATGTGATCACGAAAGCAAGATGATTGATTAAAAATACTCAAAATCACATGACAACTAATGAAAAAAACATACTGTAGAGAACGGGGAAGAAAGAAAGAAAAGAACAATCCACACACATAACATAGCAATGCCCAAGTTAAGTAGGCAACGCAATGGCATAAAGAGAGAACTCGCGGTGAACCGAAAAACCGCTAGATTCAGCGACATCGGTCTTGTCTTCAGTAGATCCCTCCGGTAATTTCCAATCAAACCCATGCACCAAGTTAGCCAAAACCACCTCATTCAACGTCACAGCGAAAGATACTGCTGGACAAATCCTTCTCCCTGCTCCAAATGGAAGCAGTTCAAAATGTTGACCTTGGAAATCAACAGATGTATCTAAATGCCTCTCAGGTTTAAACTCCTCCGCGTCTTGTCCCCATGTCGCAGCCTCTCTCCCTATCGCCCAAGCATTCATCATCACCTGTGTACCAGCAGGTATGTGGTAGTCTCTTAGTTTGACATCCTCCGTTGATTCGTGAGGAGCCATCATTGGAAATGGAGGGTGTAGCCTGAGTGCCTCTTTGATCACAGCATTCAAATATCTCATTTCTTGAGTGTCATCTTCCGATACACTAGATTTCCCCTTACAAATCGTACGTACTTCTTCTTGGAGTCTTTTCATAGACTCCGGATGACGTAGAAGCTCTGTCATCGCCCATTCCAAAAGCGTGAACGATGTGTCCGAACCACCCACAAAAACATCCTGGAAAAACCAAAAACAAGAACCACAGTTATAAGATCATTGAATCTGAAATAGTATCATCCAAATGTTTGTATAATGTCCCTCACCAACATGATCGCCTTTATGCTGAGTCTGTCTATCTCAAACCCGGCACTCTTCTCTCTTTTAACAGTGAGCAATGCATCAATCAAATCAGCCCTATCTCGGTGGTTGTCATCTTCATGATCTTGCACAACTCTCTCAAAGAACTCATCAAGATCCTTTCCCGTCTTATCGAGCTGAGCATCCCAACCGCGGATCCAATCAATCCACGAAAGCCACGGTACAAAACTCCCAATACTAAACGTCCCCAATAGCTCACTCAGTCTATCGGTTAACTTCTTAAAGTCCGTCTCGCCACCATACTTCTGTCCCAAAGCGACTCTACATATCACATCGTTAGTCAAACTCTCCAAGATCTTGCTTAGATTAAAAGGCGAAGAACCCGATGATGATTTCTTGATTTTTTCCATCATCAAACTGATTTCTTCTTCTCTTACATCTCTAAAAGATCGTACCATTTTCTTGCTTAAGAGATGAATGACGCACACCCTCTTCATTTGCCTCCAGTACTCTCCATAAGGAGCTGAGGCCACATCACGGTTGTTGTAAAGAAGCTTCTCGGAGAGTTTTGACCTCGGGCGGTTCGCGAAAGCCACGTCGTGCGTCTTCAAAACTTCTTTAGCCATCTCCGCGGAAGAGACTATAAGAACGGGGACACTCCCTAGGTGAAGGAGCATGAGAGGACCGTAACGGTGACTGAGAGAGCATAGTGATCGGTGAGTGTGGCGGCCGAGCTGATGAAGGTTTCCGATCAATGGAAGTCCTGGTGGTGAAGGAGGTATCATACCTTTCTTCCATCTGGATTGTTTTCTCGAAAAGAGAACGGAAAAGAAAATTATTGGGCACAAGAGAAGTATCATCATCATCATCATTTTTTATATTCGGATTTCAAGTTCTTCAAGATATTTTCTTGTAAATTTGTGTTCTTTTAGACTTAGATTATATAATCCACGTTTCTCAACGGTTACGTTTACTAGTGTCCCACTCAGATTTTCTACTTTCTTTGGCTGAATTAGAAAACAAAAATTTTCCTCTCAAATCATATAAACATAAAGAGTAAGAAATCTCTACATATATGTAATATGGCACCCAATTATATCACAACTAAAATTTTTTTTTTGCTATGAAAAGATAAAATAAAGAAAAGAAAAGTTATTTTTTGCCCAAAAAAGAAAGAAAAGAAAAGTTATTTTACCAAAACAAGAATCCTTATTTGTTAGATTTTTGTTTTTTTTAGATAGCCACAAGACAAAACTATTTATCTCATCTTTAAGTTACATGGATATTTCAAAAAACTTTTTAAAAATAAAATTTATATGCCATTTTTATATATATCATATTTGTTAGTTGTTACCATAAAAGGTTTCCAATAAAAAAAGAAATTGCAAGTTTGGATTCTATAAGAAAAGTAACATCATCATCATTTGCATGTCTTGATTCTGTAAGTTCTTTATGTATATACAAAAGTCTTGCGAAGAGTTTGAAGGACTTTTGTGATCTTTTGGATTTATTACATAAACAAGCTACCTACTATACGTAATACTCAATTACTTGGAATTATTTAAATAGAAAAGTATTCAAATTAAATCTTACACTTTCAAATATAAAATTTCAACATTATTTATAATAAAATATTGTATCACAATTAAAATTTCAACATTATTTATAATAATATTGTTGTGGACGTCTTCCTTCTTTTTCTAAGTTGAAGAGAACATCAATCAACTCTGTTTCTCCACAAATTTATTTTGAGATAATTATTTCGTCCGAATAAGCTTCTTCCTTTTCTACATAAGGACACACGTTCAAGAGTTAAAGAATGGAGACAAAACTTTATTGTGAAAATTCATAACAAAATCCACCCAAAACTTATTGCCTTGTTCGAGAGTTTCAAATGAGTAAACATGTTTATTGTAGGTAGATAAAAAAAAAAAACATAACAAAGCATTTTTATGTCATGCCTTAGTCAGGTAGTAGATGATGCAATAGCGTAGAGAGGGAACTTGCAGTGAACTGAAGCACCGGTTGATTCAGCTACACCGGTTTGATCTCCTATAGATTCAGCCGGTAATCTCCAATCGAACCGATGCACTAAGTTAGCCAAGACTACCTCATTCAACACCACAGCGAATGATATTGCTGGACAAATCCTTCTTCCTGCTCCAAACGGAATCAGCTCAAAATTCTGACCACGGTAGTCAACAGACAAATCTAAATGCCTCTCCGGTCTAAACTCCTCCGCGTCTGGTCCCCATGTCTCAGCCTCTCTCCCTATCGCCCAAGCATTGATCATAACTTGTGTACCGGCAGGTATGTGGTACTCTCCTAATTTGACATCTTGTGTTGATTCGTGAGCAACCATCAAAGGAAGTGGAGGATGTAGCCTCATCGTCTCTTTCATCACAGCTTTTAAGTATTTCATTTCTTGAATGTCTTCTTCTATTACACGTGACTTGCCCTTACTAATCATACGGACTTCTTCTTGGAGTCTGTTCATACATTTTGGGTGACGTAGAAGCTCTGTCATTGCCCATTCCATAAGTGTATACGATGTCTCCGTACCACCCACAAAAACATTCTGAAAAGTGAAAACCAAAACATGAACAACGTTTATATACATGCATACAAAAACATCATATAATCTTTAACCCGTATCAACCAAAAGTGTACTGTATTATCTTCCCTCACCAAGACGATTGCCTTAACGCTGACACGGTCGATTTCAAACCCGACGCTCTTATCTTTCTGAATGGCGAGCAGTACATCTACAAAATCAGTCCTATCTCGGTCTTCGCCATCTTCATGATCTTGCACAACTCTCTCAAAGAACTCATCAAGATCGTTTGCGGTCTTTTCAAGCTGACCATCCAAACCACGGATCTTATCTATCCATGCAAGCCATGGTACATAACTCCCAACACTGATCGTCCCTAGTAGCCTGCTTAGCCTCTCCATTAACTCCTTAAAATCTGTTTCACCACCGTATTTTCTTCCCAGAGCAGCTCTACATATTACATCGTTAGTTAAACTCACCAAGATCTTGCTTAGATTCACTGGCAAAGAACTCGATCTCCGGATCTTTTCCAACATGAGACTAATCTCTTCTTCTCTCACTTCTCGAAAGGACCGTACCATTTTGTTGCTGAAGAGATGGAGGACGCACACGCTCTTCATTTGTCTCCAGTACTCTCCATAAGGAGCTGAGGCCACATCATGCCTATCGTAAAGAAGCTTCTCGAATATTTTAGACCGTGGACGGCTAGCGAAAACACGGTCATGCGTCTTCAAAACGTCTCTAGCCACTTCAGCGGAAGAGACTACAAGAACGGGAACACTGCCAAAGTGAAGGAGCATGAGAGGACCATAACGGTGGCTGAGAGAGCATAGTGATCGGTGAGTGTGGCGACCGAGCTGATGAAGGTTTCCGATCAACGGAAGTCCCGGTGGTGACGGAGGTGTGTTGCTGTTCTTCTTCCCTCTCTTATGTTTTATGAAAAATATGATGGAAATGAAGATTACTGAGCATAGCAGAAATACCATGCTTATCATTTTGCATGTCTAGATTCTTCAACTTGTTTGATAGAAGAAAAAAAAAGAAGTCTATATTCTTCAACTTCAAAAAAAAAATGTTAGTGTGAAGAGTTTGAATTTGTCATTTTTAGAATTATGTACATATTACAAGCCAAGTTCTCTACGGTAGTTATCAATAGCTGTCCACTCGATTTTTGGAGTTATGTACTATATGCATGCCGTCTGGTTTCTTTTTTATATTTAGTAATTTGTTCGAGAATTTTTCTTTCGGTGCGTTTACGATTTACGTGTCTTCTTTTGGAATCATAAGTGCCGATTGTTCAACAAACAATCCTCCATGAATTTTCAAATGTACTAAATTCGTCTACAAAATGAAAATGTTTCGAGTTATTAGAAAAGGTATATTATGAGGTAAACGAAACAAAACGAACAAAAAAGATTATAACAAATGAGAATGACATTAAAGTAATGATTTGTATCAGTATATTTTATTGGAAGGGTAGCATTGGGTATTATAGGTGTCACCAAAAATTATGACAAATCCTGAGAGAGAGAGATTTGATAACAAAGTGTTAAGTGTCTCTAACGTTTACAACGAGTCAAAAAAGCACTGAAACTGAAGTCTACACTACATATAGCGTTAAATCAAATTTGTTATGGTAACAAGTCTAAACCCTAAGAGTTTTTTATTTAGTTTTGTAAGATTTTGTAATTACCAAAGTCATTCTTTATAAGATTTTCTTGATTTAGGATAGTCACTATAGAGACTGACTTAGAAAGGGGAAAAAGTCCATGTAATTTTATATATTCACTAAGTCAAAATAACACAATGAAGTTGACTGAGAATAAGCAAAATAATTGTATAGAATAATTATTTTAAAACTCATCACATGACAACAATAAATGAGAAAGAAAATAAAAAAATTAAAAACAAGATCCATGGCGCGAAAAAAGCAACGACCCACACCATTGCCACGTGGTCTTGTCCTGTGGATCTGAGTGTCCCAAATTAGGAGATGAGAAGAAACAGAGAGAGAGAGATTACAAAACACTCTGCACCATTATGATCAGCAGCTGTAAAAGCTTAAGCTTTGTTTTAATGGCAAAACAACAATATTAATATTCAACCGAACATCTAAATCATCATTTAATACACATACAAAAGAACAGCTAAGTTAAAACTTTGTGTTGACTAAAAGTTTTCTCTCCTTTCTGTCAAGAAGTCTTCTCTGTTTTGACTTGCAAGTAACCAAGAAAAATGCGACAAGATGAGAAAAACTCCGAGGAAGAATTCGTCGAAGTCGATCCCTCTGGTCGCTATGGCCGAGTCTGTTCTTCCTTCCTTATTCGAACATACCATTTTCTCAGATTCAATCTTCATCTTCTAATTAACCTTTTTTGTTTCTCATTTTTTGCTTCAGTATAAAGAAGTTTTAGGTAAAGGAGCTTTCAAACAAGTGTATCCTTTTTTCACAGATCTCTCTTCTTTGTTACTACAGAGACAAAAAAAAATTGTTTTGTTTGATCAGATACTTCTCCAGATACAGAGCATTTGACCAGCTTGAAGGAATCGAAGTTGCTTGGAACCAAGTTAAGTTAGACGATAAACTCTCTAACTCAGAGGATCTAGATCGTCTTTATTCTGAAGTTCACTTACTCAAAACCCTTAAACACAAAAGCATTATCAAATTCTACACTTCTTGGATCGATCACCAACACATGACCATCAATCTCATCACCGAAGTCTTCACCTCCGGAAATCTTAGACAGTCAGATTCCCCTCTCTCTTTAAAACTCAAAATAAAAATCCATGTTTCTCATGTTTGACAAACACTTTTGTGGATCCACTTGAATTCTCGGGATTTTTTGTTTTAGGTACCGGAAGAAGCATAAGTGTGTTGATGTAAGAGCATTGAAGAAATGGTCAAGGCAGATTTTAGAAGGGCTTGTTTATCTTCATAGTCATGATCCTCCTGTGATCCATAGAGATCTTAAATGTGATAACATTTTCATTAATGGCAACCAAGGTGAGGTCAAAATTGGTGATCTCGGCCTAGCTGCCATTCTTCACCGCGCTCGCTCAGCTCATAGCGTCATCGGTTAGTTCTTGAAGCTTTATCTATAAAGAGAACTATAATTTGCTTGTGTGAAACTATAATTGTGTTTACTTGAAAATTTTGTTAAGGAACTCCTGAATTTATGGCACCAGAACTCTATGAAGAGGACTATAATGTATTAGTCGATATATACGCGTTCGGAATGTGTTTGCTCGAGCTAGTAACTTTCGAATACCCGTATTCCGAATGCACAAATGCTGCTCAGATTTATAGGAAAGTTACATCGGTAAGTGATATTTTTTTCTTCATTTGAAATCCAATCAATGAATATGATATTTCTTTCATATAGTCGACCCCATTTTTTCTCAATCCTTTTTAGGGAATCAAACCAGCCTCCCTTTTGAATGTGACTAATCCGCAAGTGAGAGCATTCATAGAGAAATGTATTGCCAAGGTCTCGGAACGCTTGTCTGCCAAGGAACTACTTGATGACCCTTTTCTAAAATGCTCGAAGGAACAAACCGAATACGTCAGCTCTCACAAAGGTAACAACTGGAAACTGTGGTATCATTTCGACTTCTCATATGATTTATATTGATATGAGATTTTACTAATACAAGATTATATCGACTCAGAAAATGGCTGCAACGGAAGAGGAATTGAGGATAATGACTTAGATTCTACGGTAGGTTTAACTGTAGAAGGCCAACGTAAAGACCTCAATACAATCTTTCTAAAACTTCGAATCACCGATTCCAAAGGTTCTAATCTTTTTTTTGTTTTGACATTTATTTTATCTTCATTGAATGTTCTTTTGACTGAGTAATAACATTTTTAAACAGGTCAAATCCGCAATATCCACTTCCCATTTAACATAGAGACAGACACATCTTTCTCAGTCGCCATCGAAATGGTCGAAGAATTAGACTTAACCGATGATCAAGACATCTCAACTATCGCTAAAATGATAGACTTAGAGATACATTCACACATCCCCGACTGGACTCCTTCTCGTCTTACCGGAGATGATTCAGCTATACACAAATGTTTGTCTTCTCCTCTGCATTTAGACAGATTTCCTTCAGGGAGAAAATTCTGGTCCTCTCCTAAAGCTGGAGCTGGAGATTCTCGTTCGCCCTTCGCGCCACGGTCTAGTTCTAAGCTGTCTTTCTCACAAGGACCAATCAATCAAGATGTTGGGGTTATAGTCGAGAAACTTGAGTCTTTATTGAGGAAACAGAGAGAGGAGATTGAAGAGATGCAGAGAGATCAAGAACGTATTGTTTCTGAATTCTTAAAAGAGTTTCCTCCTGATATCTGTGAAGAGGCTTTGGTAAGATTACAACTCAAAGAATCTGATAGCTTACTATGTTAGTTCGTTCGTTCGTTACATTATATAATACTCTTGTCAAGATTATTTTGGTTTTGTAATATTATATTGTGATTGTGAAGGTTAAAGGTTATCATCTGAGAAAACTATTTCTTAGAAAATCTAACATTTTTCAAATAATAACTTTTAATTCTTTTTTGGAAAAGCGGAGGACGAATCTAGTTCAGAAGAGTCAAGTGTCTCTTGTATAGCTTATGCCTCAAGATAGGTTTCTTACATTAAAAAACCTAATCGTCAAACAGTTTTTGTTAGAGTGGATCCAAATATTTTTCACAAATGGGCTAAAGGCCCAAAAACAAGAAGGCCAACTTGAAAATATCATAGCATTTTGAAAAACGCCGCGTTTAAGGAGGCTCTTAAACCCCCAATTATTAGGAAGATTGCATTTTTGCTAAAACCCTATAACTGTCATCGATCTTTCTCTTCCTTCTTCTAAACCCACAAAATCACAGTAGCAGCAGCTGTAGGTTGTAGCCATGTACAGATCAAAAGCAATACTGTCTACTCTTCGAAATGCTTACTCACAGATCTCGACTCGGTCGTACCTAAGCCGAGCTCAGGTGGGTTTTTCCTCAAACTCGTCTTCGCCTTTCGATTCATTTGTAATCCCTGGTCGATTTCAGTGGAAATATCGCACCTTTGCTTCGAACCCAGATTCTATGCTTCAGTTAGTACTTGAGAATGATTGGTCTAAGGAAGTAGAGGAAGGATTGAGGAAACCGGATATGTCTTTAACCCACGAGACTGCAATTTATGTTTTGAGGAAATTGGAGAAGAACCCAGATAAAGCTTATTGCTTTATTGATTGGGTTTTGAGAGATTCAGGGCTTAGTCCAAGTACTCCACTTTATAGCATTATGTTAAGGATTTTAGCGCAGCAGAGATCTATGAAGCGGTTTTGGAAGATTCTGAGTGAGATGAAACAAGGAGGGTTTTATTTAGATGACGATACGTATACGACTGTTTATGGTGAGCTTAAGAAGTCGGAATCGAAAGCGGACGCTGTGGCTGTTGCTCATTTCTATGAGAGAATGCTTAAGGATAACGAAATGTATGTTGTTGCAAGGAATGTTTCTGCTGCTGTTTTGAAGGTGGATTGGAGTTGTGAGGTTGAGAAGGAATTGCAGGAGATGAAACTTGTTTTGTCGGATAATTTTGTCATCAGGGTGTTGAAGGAACTAAGGGATCATCCCTTGAAAGCTTTGGCATTTTTCAATTGGGTCGGTGGTAGTTCTTCTGGTTATCAACACAGTACCGTTACATATAATGCGGCCTTGAGAGTTTTGACTAGGCCTAATTCAGTTGCTGAGTTTTGGAATGTTGTTGATGAAATGAAGATCGCAGGGTACGAGATGGATCTTGACACTTATATAAGGGTTTCAAGACAGTTTCAGAAATCTAGAATGATGACCGAGGCAGTTAAGCTTTATGAGTATATGATGGATGGTCCGTTCAAGCCATTAGTTCACGATTGCAGTACTCTGTTGAGGTCTTTATCGGCTGGTCCCAACCCAGATTTGGATTTGGTGTTTCGGGTTTCAAGGAAATTTGAATCAAGTGGGAATTCTCTCTCAAAGGCTGTTTATGATGGAATCCACAGGTCTTTAACCAGTGTAGGTAGGTTTGACGAAGCTGAGGAAATTATAAAAGCTATGAGAAATGCAAGTTATGAGCCGGATAACATCACGTACAGCCAACTCGTATTTGGGCTTTGTAAAGCTAAGAGATTAGAAGAAGCACGCGGAGTTCTAGATCAAATGGAAGCACAAGGATGCTCTCCGGACATAAAAACTTGGACTATTCTGATCCAAGGGCACTGCAAAAACAATGAATTAGATAAGGCATTCGCGTGTTTTGCAAATATGCTAGAGAAAGGGTTTGATGTTGACTCTGATCTGCTAGAAGTCTTGATTGGTGGATTTCTTAGCCAAAACAGGATAGAGGGGGCGTATAAATTTCTTATGGAGATGGTGAGAAATGCTAATGTTAGACCTTGGCAAAGCACTTACAAGATTCTTATAGACAAGCTGCTAGAAATCAAGAAGGGCGAAGAAGCGCTAGATCTTCTTCAGATGATGAAGAAGCAAAATTACCCTGCATATGCAGAACCTTTTGATGGATACCTTGCAAAGTTTGGGACTTTGGAAGACGCTAAAAAGTTCTTGGATGTGCTAAGCTCCAAGGATTCTCCTACTTTTGCAGCTTACTTTCATGTCATTGAAGCTTTCTATCGAGAAGGAAGACTTACCGATGCAAAAAATCTTCTCTTCATATGTCCCCATCACTTTAAAACGCACCCTAAAATCTCTGAACTCTTCGGCGCTGCAGCTTGAGATATTATGTCACACAATTGTTTCTGCAGAGATATGGTTATCGCATTCAACAACCAGAATATTACCAAAAGGTCTTCTACTGTTTACAAGTCTTTCCATTCGGCTTCTCTGGACTCTGGTTCTGGAGTAAAACTTCTAACATTGTCTTCTCACATAATGGCCATTCCTCTGTTCTACGTGCTGCAGGGTTATGAAGAAACAGTCTATAGTTGATAAAATTGAAGGATGTTGTGGGATTGTTCATAAACAGTTTGCATTTATTTATTTATTTTGAAATTGTTGAGCTCCTCTCTCACTTTTTTTGTTGTTTTTTTTTAACTCAGTATTAAATGAAATTTTCATCACAGAATGCAGTTATGGGTTGAAGTCTTGGTTACGTCCTGGTAAATGCATTATTTTTGTTTTTTTTTTTTCATTTTTATTGAGTATAAGAGAGAAGGCTTGCACTTGGCAGATCACATAGAGCAGTTGTGTAAAGGATCTTTGATGCTTTAGATTGGACAATCATTTTTTTTTTTTTGGTAAATGGAATCACAATCAAACTGAAAAGGTGATTTTGCATGCTATTTTTCTAGAAAGAATGTAAATTTTAGACGACAGGAAAAGTCATAGAACTATCTTAGTCCTCTCCAAACCTGTCTGCATTGGCCATGTGAGGTTTTGTTCCAGAAGTCAGATAAGCTTACGTGTTACTTCTTCACACATGCGGTTGTCTGATTATTGGCTGAAGAGAGCACACAAAGAGACATCATACTATAAAATGTCACTTCAATGTTCCATTATCAGCTAACTGTTGTGTGGTCATAGACAATTTTTGACATGGAAACCGGGCACGTATCTAATCTTGTGTGTTATAGAGACACTGACATTTAACCGGAGCTAATTTTGCTGGCCAAGTAAAACAGTAGGGCAATGCAAGTCCACTTGAGTATCTCAAAGTTACTGCATCGTAAAGGATTTACAAAGTGAATCTCTCGGATCTACCAAAATGTTCTAATGCAACTTATCATCGAGATTTCTGTAAAACCCATCCTGAAGAGTTGGTTTCACAGAGTTCGTGCATCATCAGAGTTCCAAAATTCGCGAAGGTTAAGTTACCTTAAGCTAAAAAACTGTAGAGCTCTCGTTATTGATGTTTGGGTACTAGATAGCGGCTGATGATGTTTTATAAGCCCATATAGAATCGGCCCATTAAGAAATCCCTTGTTCATACACATTTTCTACTTCCTTTTTCTAAATTAAATCTGCTTTAAATTTATATGGAAAATCAGATATATTTTATATCTTGACAATCACGGAAACTATTTTATATCATTGGAGTCGAGCAAAAAATTTGCCTAGCTAAAAGAAATTTAAATAAATATATATATAGAGTCAGTCCAAAAAACATTTCTATTACTTCCATTATACTGTATATATATTACCTCTCTCAAGTCAAGTGTGTGCTAACTAGTCTTTCTGGTTAATTTCAGTGGGTTTCTAATATCATTAAATTTTTGTATTCTGCTTTTTTTTTAGTATGAGGGTGAGTTTTGTACATGTATGGATAATGAGTTCCCGCATCATCAATGATTAGCTTAGATATATTTGTTGTTTCCTTATTGTCATCCTAGAAATTAAAACTTAAGTCTTTACCAATCGTGTACGTAGCGTTAGCATAAATCCTCTAATGTCATCAACTGCACCAGACTCAAGAGAATGCAGTTACGAATTAGGACATCTAGTAAGAATTTGAAACCAAGTGAAGAATAATCACTCTTGTTATCACTATTGAGTATCACAGAAAAGTATGGCACTACGCTATAATAGATAGCAATTGTTTATCGGATCTTGATCTTACTACTTTAACTTGGAGAGAATGAAAATGTATTTAGATACTCATAACTTGTTATTATATCATTCGTAAATCACAATAAAATTGAATGGGTGATTTTGCAATGCTGGTTTTCCAAAAAGAATGTGAATTTTAGACGGTAGGGAAAAAGTGATAAAAAAAAAAACTCTTATCCGAATATTAACCCTCTAGAGTCCAGACATGTCTGCTTTGGCCATGTGAAGTTTTGTTCCAGAGACGTCCGATAAGCTTACGTGTTACTTCTTCACACATGCGATTGTCTGATTATTAGCCGAAATAACAGAGATCTCACAAAGAGACATCATACCATAAAATGTCAATTCAATCAATCAATGTATTTCATTCTCAGCCAAGTATTGTTGCGGTCTTAGACATTTTTTTCTCCTTTGTTTAGGTTGATGAATACATCAACTTCTCCTTGTCTCTTAAACCACACATTGCAACTAGAAAAAAAAAAACATTTCACCAAAAATGTAAAATGATTTATGTATCGAACTAATAGTGTTATGTAACGTAAACACTACACACATAAATTGTTTTTCAATCATTGATTATGGCAGTTGACGGTGATTGACCCGTAATGTTTGTGTGGTCGAGTCAGATTTACACTTTGAAAATTAGGGTTTATTTGGAACAAATCTTTATTTTTTTATATTAAAAGAAAGGTATACACATATACTGAACTGGTAAAGAGCAAAAGACCTGTCACAACAGTTTTACCCGAAACTAACCAAGCAGAAGATGGAGAATCTAGGAGCAAAAGCAATTTTAGGATTCCTGCATAAAAAAATAACTTTTTGACATGGAAGCTGTCTATTTGATGCTTAGGTTTTTGAGGCACGTATCTAATCTTGTGTGTTGTAGTGACTAGTGACACTTGACATTTAACACTTGATTTACACGAAAAGGTTAGATAACTGTCCATTTTGGGAGTAACGTTTTCTATTCCTCCATTTACCTGAAAAAAGTAGTCGGCTTAGTTTAGTGATACTGATTATGACATTTTTCGGTTAACTAGATTGAACGACGACGACGTCGTCGAGTAATACGAATTTGTAAATAAATGGTCAAATTTACCATCAACAACTTACTATTGTCTGAAAGTTTCTTCAGAAACGTATATTACCAAACCCACACTTCAATCGCCATTTGTCTAATTACGCCATAATAGGTCTTTGTGGTCTGTGCATGTATGTGTTTTCTTTTTCATTTGTTTAATAGTTATGTTTCTTTTGAGAATATTAAAAGTATCAAACTGAGTTGGATATATGTCATCCTGACTAAGAGAGATACAAAAAGTAAAGACAAAAAAACCAAATTAATTTACAAACAAAAACAAAATGAACGTTAACAAAAGTACAAAAAAAAAAAACTCTTCCGAGGAAACAAAATTAAAGAAACTCTAGCAGAAGTACACGTGTAAGGAAACACATCCACTGATCAACGCGATACACACGTGTACACGCATCTGAGTACGACACGTTTCACGTCTGGAACGGTCGCAACGTACCACGTATCGAATAAAACTGACGTCGTACGTTCTTTCCTCACATATCTTAACGGCAAAGTTAACGGTTCGCCGGTAATTTTACTTGCCTTCATCTTCTCCGATTTGTTTCACCCCAAAATTTTCACTAATTTTCCATAATTCTTCTCTTCTCAAACAACAACACATCATCAACATTTTAAAAACCCTAAAACTTCGTTTTTTTTTTCTTTCCCACAATTATTTTTTATTTTTCTGATTTTATTCGCCGTCAACGTTATTGCCAGATGAGATTAGCGTCTCTGTTGTGAACTCGGCAGTTACAGCAAGGAGTATATTCGCCAGTCCTCATACGAAATCGACTGAGAAGAGTCTCCGCCGGAGGAGCCAAACAGTACCGCGGCGGTGAAGGAGAAGCGACGACGGAGAATAACGGCGATTTCGGCGATAGATCTCCGCTAGATCGTGGCGAGGAGATCTGCTTCGGAGGCGATAAAATCGCACGGATCTTGCCTCCGTGTAAACGATCGTATTCTTCAACGATATTCGCCAGATCTTCGTCTGTTCTGATTGAGATCAGCGTCTCGAGATCTCCGTTTGGTAATTGACATTTCAATTCGACGGCGTATCCACAGAACTCCTCCAATTTCACCATCAGCTCTGGAGAACCAAGTTAAAACAAACATAATCAGCTTCGATTAAAATTTGGGAGTTAAGAGTTAAGATTACGAAATCGGAATTTTGGAAAACGGACCTGTGAAAGAGATGGAGTGATGAACGGAGAGTACTCTGGTGAAACCGCCGAAGTAACGGAGGTTTCCGTCGAGAGAACGAGGGAGGATTCTGCCGCCGTAACTGCAGAGGAACTTGAGACTAGTGTTGTTCGTTTTCTGATTCACCATTTTTAGAAGCTTCTCGATGATATTTGAAATGTGTTTCTCTCTGTGTGTGTGTATTTGGTTTTCTCTTAAAACCGAGAATGATGGGGGTGGAAGGGAACTTATTTATAGGTAGGAAATGACGTCATAGTGGGACTCTCTAACTCGTATATTGGGAAATTAAAATATTCGATTCATATTTTGTTCATTACAAACAAGGGTGTTTTGGACAAATTTCGTTAATCGAATATTCTATTTTCTTCTTTCATTGAATTAAGCAGAGACGATCGAGTTGGTGTAATTTTCAAGTAATTTAAAGTGGCTCATATTTATTGGCTATAATAATTATTAGTTAATTTTGATTCGTTGTAGTACAATCTCAACCCAAATCTTCCCATGTGAATGAATCGTGTGTTTTTTTTTTCTCTCCTTAAAGTAATGGAAGAATAATTGTGTTTATCAAATGACGGTTCATCTAATTCTAATGAATTTTTTTAAAAGATTTTGTTATCAAAGTCGAAAATTTAATAATGATGTTTGATTCATATTAGTATTTGGCCTAAGATAACAATTTTGCTTGAGCGCAACAGAGGAGAAGTTCATTACAATATTATTTTCTTAGTTTAACATACGAATCTGTTGTTAAGCATTGGAAGATACCATTCTAATCACCATGATTTCCGGTGCTCGTCTTATAGTAAAGGTAGTCAAGTGTATCCCATTAGCTTCATTGCGAAATCTAAAACATGTTGTCCAAATCCAACAGCTTCAAGAATGTTAATCAAAATCCCAAAGCATCCAAGGGCTAATCCAAATTTCAAGTCGTGGCGTTGCACATGGCTACGTTATTTTAGCTCACTAATTTATCCCATAAGAGTCAGAGTTGGGTAATTAATTTTGCCGGTTTCCAATGACCAATGTTATTCTTTAGACACTATTTTTCCTATTTGCTTAAAGCTATTTAGAAAAATAAAAACTACTAGTGAGATGTCTTAGGGGATTTAGGCATTTTGGCAGCAAAATAATCCCTTGAATTTATAAGATGTTTTCTAGTTTTAATTCTTTATTAATAATGAAAAATAAATATATAATTTAGTTTTGAAACGTAATACAAATATTTATATATAAAAAACAATACTTAACGCTAGAAAATATTAAAACACTACAATCAAGTCACTAGAATTTTTCTAATAGAGTGGAAAACACACTCGAATACTTATAAGGGGTTTTAGGCAGTGTGATGTAACAGATAACCAAAAGAGATTTAATTTTATAAATAAAAGCGTAACAATATAGTTTTTATTTAACTTAATATTTCTATTTAACCACTAAATTTTTTAAGACGAACATTATTTTTGAACTGCAATTTTTCTAATATCATTATCTTATGATCTGTTAGACTGTTACTGATCTTAACCGCATCAAATTAGTCGTAATTGTAAAAATCCTCTAACCGAATAGTCTAACCGTCCCCAAGACCAAGTTGAAGCATTCTAAAGAAAATATTTATTGTTTCTTTAAACTTTATATAAATTCCGCGTATTATAGTTGTTATATAAATCAAATCTCTCTTCTCGGCGGAAAAAGCAAAAACAAAAAAACAAAAGCAGAGAGAAAATGGAAAACGCGGCGAGCTTAGCGACGGGTCCCGACGGACGTAAACGGCGGGTGAGCTACTTCTTCGAGCCGGAGTTCGGCCAACCGAAAGAACCCTTCGCGAGCCACATCGCTCACAACCTCATCTTCAAACATGGCCTCCAGCACCACATGGAAATCAACCGCCCAATTCTCGCCGGCGCTTCCGATTTCTTGCGATTCCACACGCGGGACTATGTCCAGTTCCTCGCCTCAGCCAAGCCGATGTCCCTCAAGGATCGTTCCGGCTACATTGACGCCACTCGCTTCTTCAGCAATAACGTGGCCCTGGCCAGGTACGGACCGTACGGTCCCGTCTTCCATAGCATCTTCGATTATTGCTGTGCGTACGTTGGCTGTTCTTTAAGCGCCGCCGCCAAATTGAACCGTCGGGAATCTGATATCGCCATCAACTGGTCTGGCGGGATGCACCGTGCCAAGAATGATAAGGGTTCTGAGTTTTGCTTCGTCAATGACGTTGTCCTTGGGATTCTCGAGTTGCTCAAGGCTTTCCAGGTAACAACAACTCTTTCTTTGATCCTTTCAATTCAATACCACGAATCTTGAGGCGTCTAAATTGGATAATTAGTCTTTGAATCTGCTTCCATAAATGAGAGATGTTTCTGGGAATTATCTGTGGAATTTGCAATTTCCTAAACTCAGTGTTCAGATTTAAGTGTTGGTTCGTGAATCTTGATGCATCTTAAATGGTGGTTATGCTTAGAATCTTGATGTTTATGTTTGTTTTTGTTCGTTCAGAAGTACATTGCTGCATCTGAATGCGTTTTGAATTTTGTTGTTGGCAGAGAGTTCTCTACATAGATATTGGCTGTCGCCGTGGGGATGGAGTGGAAGAAGCATTTTACGATACTGATAGAGTTATGACTGTATCTTTCCACACTGATCAGGACACTTACACATTTTTCCAAAGAAGTGAAGACAGGAGAGAGTTGTATACTCTAAATGCACCATTAAAGAATCATCTCAAGGATAAAAGTCTTCGCAACTTGTTCAGACCTGTTATCACCAAGGCAATGGAAGTTTATCAGCCAGAAGTAATTGTTCTTCAGTGTGGTGCTGATTCATTAGCTGATGATATGGCGCCTAAGTTCAACTTGAAAATCAAGGGTCACGGTGATTGCCTCCAGTTCATAAGATCTTTTAATGTTCCTCTCATGGTCTTAGGTGGTGGTGGTTATCATTTTGAACTTGCTGCCCGTTGCTGGTGCTACGAGGTCTGTTTCATCTCTTTGGTAACTTTAGTTATATCATTCAAGTCTTGTTCTTGATGGTTTCTTGTTCCCTTTGTTGCAGACAGCTATTGCGGTTGGGGTTGGGGAACAACTTGAGAACGATCTCAAAGTCAATGAGTTTCATTACAAGCCAAACTACAAGGAGGACTTAAACACACCAAGAGATATTGAGCTTATAAGGTAACCTTCTAATAAGACGTATCAATTTGGTGTCAGTTTCACAACTTTTTGGTTTTAAAACTTTATTTGGTATTCCTCGTCCTTCTGTTATCTAATTATGAAGCTATAAGACTTAAACTTACTTGTGTGTTTGATTACAGGAACGGATTACTACGGCAACTTTCACAAATAATACACGTACCTAGCGTACAGTTTCAAAACACTCCACCAACCAGTCAAGCCACAGAACCGGTAAGAGCTACAGAACAGAGTCATTCATTCACTGATGTTATACATCTCACTCTCTTTTCTTCTGAGTTACTTATGTCCTGTGAGGCTTTTAACATTCACATGTCATATCTGTAGGCGGAAGTGGACATGGAGAAGAGACAAGTTCCAAGCAATCTGAGGCAATCCAAGTTGTGAATTAGATGCTGATGACTGATGAGGATTGGTATTTTCTCAGATAAGGCCAATGGGGGTTAATATTTCATAGGAAAGAGGATTATTCATGCTTAGTTTCACCTTTTTGTGTGAGTTGTTTTACATACATGTAGATAACGAAGAACGATAGTTGTATAAAAGCATAGCACCTACACTAGTAAAGAACAACATTGTGTGGAAGCGTGTGATTACAACAACAGTCAAAATATTATAAGAAATTTATACAGCAGATTGTAGTCAAAAGTGTCGTCGAAACATACATTATCATCAATCATCATCATCTAAGCTTTAATTAATGTATTCCTTGGTACTGGTTGAGAAGAAAACAGAGTTTAACCTTCATTCTGTAACAAGTTAGGCCAGATCAAACACAAACGAGGAGAAGAGAGAAAAGAGAGAGAGAACCGACCTAATTTTATTCTTTTTGGAAGGATAGTTATGTAAATACATACTTTGTTCAATATATTTTTACCCAAACTATGACGTGGTTGCATATATGAAATAACTCTTTATGGTAAGAATATACAGGAAAATAGTATATTTTATATTTTGGATTCAGTGCTACAACCTCACCACATCCAATGCATGAATGCACCAACGTCGATGGGTCGTTAGCTAAATGCATAAACAGCTTCGTAGGCCAAGACTCGACAAAAGATGGGATCACTACCCCAGCCACCAGTTCCCATGGTTCCAATACTAAAACTTGTAAAATATATATATATATATATATTTTTGAATGAATGTTAAATTTATTCAACCAACAATATATGTAAAATATGTAAAACATATATTACCAAAAAAATAAACCAACTTTTAAGGGTCAAGCATTTAACCAAATGATAATTTACTCATTTGAATATAAATTGACTAAACTTTATGCTTACACAACACACCTTTCATATAAATATTGTTACGTCAAACTGGCTGCCAGCCGTAAGACGAGGTAGGAGAAAATGCACTTCCGACTGCGAACTGGCTACTGACTTGGACGAAGCCAGAAAATTCAAGGTAAGACACCATTTTCTTCATTGAGATACTTTAACAAATTAATTAAAACTTATGACAGCTTGTAATTAACGTTAGAGACTAAAACATATATATGACGTTAAAGTTCAATTTCAACTTAAACGTCAAAAACCAAAGAGGGGAAAGAAACTAAACGTACCTAATCTCGTGATTTTGTAGATGTGGATGATCAAAAAGCAGGTGGTTCTCTCGTTAACTCTATATGAAGCCAGCCACTATTTATATACTTTCGATGTCTTAATTTTCTGTTTTCATTTCTCCTTATGTTTTATGTTTAGCTTATGTTTTACTTATCTTTTTCTTATTATTTGCTTATTTTTTTCAATTTTTTTTTCTTCTTCTTTTCTAAACGTTGTTGATAAAAATAATGTATTGACAAAAACTAAAGTCGAGAAAAATATACCATAATTGGTATATCTTTATATGATATATATATATAAAGTTATTGATAAAATTTGCATTCTCTTTATATGATATATAGTTTTCTGAATATAGTTTTGTCACTACAAGTCGTGACCGGAGAGATGGTATATCTGCAGTAAATATATGAAACAGTGGCGACTAGGAAATTATACAACAGATTGTTGTCAAAAGTCTCGAAAACATACATTATCATCAATCATCTTCATCTAAGCTTTAATAATAATATTAATACTCCAGTCTGGTTGCATGTATGAGAGGTAGTCAATGATTTTAAGGTTCCGGAAGAAACTTGCCTTGCCAAAGCCTTCCTCTGCAAAGTGTCCCGAACCCATATCGGTGGTAGTATGCTGGCCGTAGCTTCTTGAGTTAATAACCTCGCCACCCCACTGTACCAACCGCGCCGGCCCATGAGCTAGATGCGTGAATAGCCTTGCCGGCCAATACCCGATCAGTGATGAGTCAATATTAAGCCACCAATTCCCGTCGTTAGCATTCTACAATTCCAAAACAATGTATTAGGAAAATTAAAATAAAAACTCACAGAAATAAGCAAAATCGAGACTAACATTCAGGAAACTAGCACTAACTAATCTGATATAAATTGGAAAAATCTAAAGTAGATAACATATACCTTCCAAATAAACATGGTCACGTCGAACTGGCTGCCGCCGTAAGACGAGGTAGGAGCAATTGCACTCCCCAATGAGAATTGGCTACTGACTTGTACAAAGCCAAAGCACTCAAGGTTAAGACACCCTCTCTTCTGATACGTGTCCGGCTACAAGACAGTTACACATTATTGTCATAATCATAACATGAGTAATTAGAAATTCCAACAAATACTTACTATTATATTCACAGCGTTAATTATTTTCCAAAAAACAATTTCCCTCCCATATGTCAAACAGACATGAGATACTATTATAGTGTTTACTGTGTATAACAAAAAACTAGAAAAATTTAGTGTTCGTAAAGTATATATGCCTCTGTTCTAATAAATGTTCAGTTTCTATCATTTGTTAAATGTTAAGTCGTGACTCGTGAGACACAAAATTCTCAAAATTATTGCTAGTTATCCTACAATTCCTGATAACTATCAAACAATATCATTACAAACTTGTGCGTATATGTGTTATAACTCTTTATTCTATATTAGTAAACTAATTAATGAAATTACTGTAATTGGAAGCTATAAAAAATAATTAAAACGTACCGTCCAGTAGACGAAGAGTCGGGGCTGGTTGTTAAGATAATGATCAGGTAAACTTAAACAAAAGGATAATCAAAACGAACGTTACTCATTTTTATCACACAGTGCAATAAACAAATGATTATGATGATATAAAAAAGGAATAAAAAAGAGAAGAAATAAAATACCTGCCAACCAGCTTCTAATGTGTTAAGATCAGATCCGTTGTATTGTCCCGCCACCAGCCAAACTTGGGACAAACTGAACTCGTTTGCCCCTTGTTGGACTGATAGACTCCAGACACTCATCGTAGCCACCGCTCCATATACTCCGCGCAGGTAGATTACCTCTCCAATGGCGTACTGTTGTTTACATAAAATCAAACCGGATGTCAAATTATATTTACTACTACTACTACTACATGTTGCAACAAGGATTGGGAAGCTTCTCAATCTGATCTATATGGTTTGGGGATTTCTCAATTTTCAGTTGCTCGAAATTGATAACATACGTGTGGTAGAATATGTTTTGCATGAGTTTAACTATCTTAAGGTGCATTCTTTGCACTATTCTCCAATCTAATTTGTTATAATGCCATGTCAATGTCTTTTGATCAAATTTACAGGTTGCAACAGTGGTAAAAAGGAAACTTTTTCAGGTTTAAAAGGATGTTTGATGCTAGTACTGAAGAAATCTGAATATTATTTGCAAGTATTAAAAGGTCATTAAACTGACGTACAAGCTTAAGATGACAGATTATTGAAATGATTCTCTTGGGAGACGGTGTAAGAGACAAGTGCAAAGAATTTGTCTCTGGTTCATTCATTTCAAGTACAAAGTGATGGTGCAAAGTGATGCTCAAAGATAAAAAAATTCGTTGTAAGTACAATCTCTAGCTAGTTAAATACATATTATTACTAACATGTTGTTGGCTGAGAATTTTTTGCAGGAGGAATCAAAGATTGTTTCAGGAAATAAAAGGATGGTTTGGATGATTTCAGTCTTCTAGACAACGAACCATCCTTTATATTTTCTTTAATATTTCTTATGTTTTGCTCATCTTTTTCATATGTTTTGCTTATGTTTTAGTTATGTTTTATTTATGTTTTGCTTTTTTTTTTTAATCATTTTCTTAATTTTTTCTTTTTGTTTTGTTCTTCTTTTCGAAAGCTGTTAATAAACATAATGTAGTGACGAAAATAAATGAAATACTTTTAGTTACTTTATAATTTCTATTTGATTTCAGGCAATTTGGTTCAAGCAGTGCACTTAGCCTATATTTAACTAACGTCAAAAATCTTTTATTTTGTAGTGTAGTTAATATATTTATTTATTAGAAGAAATTACATCGTGTCCTTGGTCGGCCGCGTATCCAACAGTTGGAACGTCTGTTCAATGTAATTTCTTCAGTGGCTTGGCTGTAATCATGATGGACATATATAATCACTAAGAAACAAAACATACATAAACCCCACACATATAGTAATTAACACTTCATATATGTTAAAACCAAACCTTAATTAATTAACTTTCTGTGTCTCAAACCATATTACAGCAAATAGATCCAGGAAATATAAACAACCGATGGTAACAAACTATTCCCACACACAATATTATAAATACAATACAACGACTGCATACATGCTTTAATTATTTGTATTTATTTTTATTATTTTTTACCTTTTTCTACAAACTATATATACATTAAAAGTTTTTTCATTAGAATAATTAATTAAAACCCTAATTAAAATGTGCCTATCACGATTATTATGCTATATAATATCAAATTACTAAATCACGATTATTGTGCATATGGTCTGGTCAGGATAGCTCGTCCCATTTTGGTTCCATACCTGCCAAACTCTTCTTTTTTCTGTTTTGTTGAGTATATAAAGTAATCCTGCGGATGCGTCTTTATATTGAAGAAAAAAACAAACAAACAAACAAACAAACAAAAGTTAGTATCAAAAATAGTACTGTATATTTTCTATGAGTATACTACAACAAATACATAAGAACCATAAGTCACTGTTTTTAAAGTTATTACCTAAACCAACTTTAGAAAAACAAAACTAAAACAATACAAGATGTGTTAGATTCTAGTGTTCTGTTTATATAGGTTAAGTGCATTAAGTTCGTAGATTACATAAAAAAAAAGACTAGCGAATGTTGGCATAACGAGATCCTAGAGAATGGAACAATAGTTGCTAACTAGCTAAGAGCCTAAGACCATACCTGAATAACGTGACTCTCCATGAGCGGGTCATCAAAAGCTGGCTGCTCTCTGATGTGGATGCAATCAATTACATCACCATCCGAACTCTGTTTGTAAATTATTTTCAAACAAACTGTCAATTTCATAATTTATTTGAGGCTTTAAGAAATAGAAACATACTCATTTTCTTCTTTTATTTGAGCAAAGGAAAATGGAATAGCCTATGAAGATGAGAAAAGATTAATAAAACATAATAAAACTACCAAACCATCATATTATATAGAAAAAAGAATGAAACTAGCACGTAAATCTGTGTTAATAACTAGACTAGCCCATCCAAATTTGGTAGAGCTAAACTAGCTCAAAAACTTAAGTAAATGACAAAAGCCCATATAGTTTTTTTTAATTACGTAACTGCCATTATTATTTTTTTTTTTTACTTAGTACATATTCACGATAGGTTGTATAGTTACTTGGCCTTAAATCAACACCATAACTCTATCACAACTATGGCTTTTTATTTCTTTTTATTTTCTTACATTTTTTTATTTTTATTCCTATTTTTATGCTAAGCTACGTATACCACTTTGGTCCAAAACATTTCTAAATTTTTCTTGTTTTTTTAATTGACTCTTTCAAACAAAAGTTCTTCCAATAATAAAATAAAAAAGTTTGTTCCCACTATTATTCATTGTTGAAGCGTACACAAATGTACATCACTAGTTTTTTTTACGTTACAATTTTATTTTTTAAACAATATCATTTAATTTTTTTTTTGTTATTCTGTTTGAAAAATGTTATTATTGTTTATAACTAATTATTTTAAATTTTTGATAGATATTCTTTATAACTAATTCATCTTTCTACAGCAAACTCACTACATCAATAAAACTAATTTTTTTGAAGTTGAGTTTGAGTTACAATGTGTTATGCTTGAATTACGAATTTGAGTTATGTCCTTTGTAAAATTGCTAACTCAAAAGATTATGCAACATCATGGAAAATTCTATGAGGTAGAGTTGAAGTATCCATTCATTTCATTTTTTTTTAAAAAAAACTTATTATTTATTAAAAAAGAAATTTCAGTTATTAATACAAGAATTTATTTATCTTCTGTTTCTATTTAATTCATATATCAATAAAACAATTACTTTTACTATTTTATTTTATTTAATATTTTGTTCTTAAATATTTTCATAAACTACTTATATGTTGCCAAATTATTAATTTTATTTTTATTTGAAATGAAAATAGATATAGATCTAAATATGATATATAAGACCATAAATATTAGGGACGTTTTTTTTTAATTAATTTGCTATGTTACAGGAAAATTTGATTAAATTTTATATATTAAAATTAGTTTTATAATTGATATATTTTAAATTTTTATATTTCCATAAGTTAATTAAATATAATCATTAATAATTATAATAATCAATTATATTAAATTAAACTTATTTAATGAACATCATACTGCAACATCTACTACAAAAATGTCACCAGTCAATGATTTTTGTAAGATTAAAAAATCATATTTCTACAGCGATTCACTAAATCAAACCGTTGTTTTTGCCACATAATATTTACTGCAAGTTACATCAAATCATAATATTTACTGCAACTCGAGTTCGATAACTCATGTTACCAGTCGGAGCCTACATCGAATCTTAATACTTACTGCAACTCAATTTTGATAACTCGTGTTACCAGTCGGAGCCTATACTAGAGTTATAATAATATTGTAAGTCTGTCGTCATTGCTAGGTTTTAGATGTAATATAAAATATTTGTAAGGGCAAAATCGAGATTTTGTCTCATGGTTCGCCCTAACTAAAGCCTAGTTCAAATTTTCTTTTCTTAACTCTATCGTACAAGTCTGTACTACGATGATAGAGATTTGATATACAACTCTATCAGCAGGCACTAACTCTATCAAATTTACGCTATTCTAGTCAGCGTAACTCTATCATCACTACAAGTAAATCTACCATAACGTGGACAAGTCTACCATCAAGTGTGAGAGCTCACAAATACTGTTTTGGCCACTATAATTCTACCACCACTGCAGTTAAGTCTGCTGTCTAACTCTATCATCCTGTTAACTCTCCCGCCACTATCATCAACTCTGTCAGGAAACTATATCGCTCCTATAACTCTAACTATCTTTTGGTCCTAAATCTACGGCCAATACCATTAGTCCATTACCCTATTTGATAACTCTATAGTTGAGCCAACTCTACCGCCATTACAAGTAACTATACTAGGTAACTCTGTCATTTCAATCAATCTACCACCACTACAAAAATCTCTAACTTACAACTCTGTGTAATATCATACTCTCTACTACAAAACTCTATAATCCTCCTTAAGTCTACCATAACTAAATTGGTAGACTTATCGGTTGGCGGGAGTTTTTTTCACCAAAATATGCTCTCTCTCTCCGACGTGGAATTTCTTTTTAATGGCATCGACCGTAATTACGTTTATTCTTGCAACTGGTTCAGAAGGACAAAACAGCCATTTTTCACATTGTTTCTCTCCCATCCAAATCAGTAATAAACAACAATTTAAGAGTTAGTTTCGCAATCCGCCCTATTATATATGATTTTTTTTTTAACTTCTCAGTTTAGTTATCACTTCCCAGTTATATGTGTTGTTGTTATGTGTTTTCACATTTACCTTATTATGCACTGGCCATAAAATAAAACTACTATACACAATGTTGTTGTTTTGTTGATTAAAAAAACACGTACGATAGCTACTTCCAACATACAAATGTATATATGGACAAGTGTACAAACAAAATAAAATTAGCAATTGAATAATATATTAACTAATTATGATTACATAAACTACTAGACAATATATATATATATATATATATATACATATATACTATTAGATAAACTATAAGACTATATATATGATAACAGAAACTATTAGACTATGTCGTAACAAAAACAAATACTGACTGTTCCATGAAGTTTACCAAATACAGTATGAGTAAGTAGAATTGTATAATACGTGAAATAATTACAAAAGTAATATAATTTAAATATGATTTTTTTACCCAAAATAAACCTTTATTACTTAACTTATACTGTAACTTATTTTTATTTTATCAAATATGCACAAGAAGAATCGTACATTTAAAGTCTATCAATTAGCAAAGGAGGACGAGTAGTTCAGAGTTTTCCGGTGCAATTTTTATCATCATCAACAAAATTCAGTTCTCGGAAAAGAAGCAATTGTGTTTTCAGATACTTTTCAAAGGAATTAACTAGGGATTAATCTTTAGGTTTCAGTTGTTTGATTGTGGTTTTGTGCCTTTAATTGACTTTTGTTGTAATTTTAGTTTGTGTTTTTAGATCCGGAGAATTTTCGTTTCTCCCGGTTAATATCTAGAGGTTTACATGTGTCCTCTGGCCTTGTATCATATTTTTGCTTCTTTTCCTTCGTTTGAAAGTTTGAATAAACGTTCTTGTGAAAAAAAAAAAAAAGAAGAATCGTACAATATATACCTGGATAGTCATCACTGGCTGCTTCGAAGTGGAAGAAGCTAGTCCTAAGCACAGTGCAAGCGTAACCACGAAAAAAACTGACTTCATCGTACTCACTACAACAACAACAAAAAATTTATGTTATCGAATAAGATATCAAAAACATATCAGTTATAAGTTATAACATATAAATTATCGGTAATAATCATTTAATTATTTCCAATAACTTATGTTAAGATATTATGTTATCATAATAATGTAATAGTTATTACGATAATTTAAACATTAGCATACATCAATATGTATATTGCTAACTAAATTGTTACCATTTTTTTTTAATTAAGAATGTTAAGTTTAGATATTCTAATTAAAGAGACTATTTGAGTAAATTTTTAGAAGAGGCAACGAAAGTGTTAGAGATTTGTTGTAGCATGAAGAAAAAATAGATGAAAGAGTAGAAAAAATAAAAAAAAAATAAAGAAAATATAATAGAGATGTTGATAGAGTTTCTTGGGGAGAGAGATATAGGGTTGGAAACTTGGATTAGTCCAAAAAGAGCATAGCACTAAATATACAAAATGATTGTATTTTCTTAAATAAGATATCTTATATGTGTATGAAGTGGTGTTTTTTTTTTTTAATAAACTGATACAAAAATTACAATTTTACATCAATTGCTATATCTGATGTTAAATACATTGTATCACCTTCACACACTGATACAAATTTTAAAAGCCGAAAGAAATTTAAAGGAGATTGTGCATATATACAATATAGAGATTTATAGATATGAGCGGGGGAGAGGTTACATTGTATATTGGGCTTAACTTAGGCCCATTATTTGTGGGTCTAGTTAGTGTTAAACTTAGACTCAATAAGCTTCATCTGCTTCGAGCTTAATAGTATAGTATAAATAAAATACAGGAGGAAAAAAAAACAGAGAGAGTAGCACTAAAAATCAAATCGGAGATTTTCTCGTTTCTTGGCGGAAAAAAAAAAAGAAAGAAAGAGAAAACGCAGTGAAACAGAAAGAAAATGGCGACGGGTCCCGACGGAGGAAAACGTCGCGTGAGCTACTTCTACGAGCCAAAGATCGGCGACTACTACTGCGGCGTCAACCAGCCAACGAAACCTCAACGAATCCGTGTCACTCACAACCTCGTTCTCAGCTATAACCTCCACCGCTACATGGAAATCAACCGCCCGGACCTTGCCGCTGCTTCCGATTTCGAGAAGTTTCACTCCCCGGAGTATGTCGAGTTCCTCAAATCCGTCACGCCGGAGACCTTAGACGATCCTTCCGTCTCTCAAAACCTCAAGCGCTTCAACGTCGATGTGGATTGGGACGGTCCTGTTTTCCACAACCTCTTCGATTACTGCCGCGCTTACGCTGGTGGTTCTATTAGCGCCGCCGCGAAATTGAACCGTCAGGAAGCAGATATTGCTATCAATTGGGCCGGTGGGATGCACCATGTGAAGAAAGATAAGGCTTCTGGCTTTGGCTATGTCAATGACGTTGTGCTTGGGATTCTCGAGTTGCTCAAGGTGTTCAAGGTAACTGTTTCATTTGCTTTCCAAGATTATCCGTGGCATTTGCAATTTCATGAATCTTGAGGTGTCTAAATTGGAAATTAGGCTTAGAATCTGGGAATTATGTGTTGAATCTGCAATTTCCTGATCCTAGTGTTCAGATTTAAGCGTTGATTCGTGAATCTTGATGCATCTAAAACAGAGTGTTTCTTCGTTTAGAACTAGAAGAACGTTTTGTTTTACTTGATCTAATTACCGTGGCTGAGACTGAATGCTTTGTTAACTTTTGATTTTGACAGAGAGTTCTCTACATAGATATTGGCTTTCCTCATGGGAATGGAGTGGAAGAAGCATTTAAGGACACTGATAGAGTTATGACTGTTTCTTTCCACAAAGCTGGGGACACCGGTGACATAAGTGACATTGGAGAAGGGAAAGGACAATACTGTTCTCTAAATGCACCACTAAAGGATGGTTTAGATGATTTCACTCTTCGTAGTTTGTTCGTGCCTGTTATCCACAGGGCTATGGAAATCTATCAGCCAGAAGTGATTGTTCTTCAGTGTGGTGCTGATTCACTAGCTGGTGATCCGTTGGGTACATTCAACTTGTCTATCAAGGGTCATGGAGATTGCCTACAGTACGTGAGATCTTTAAATGTTCCTCTCATGGTCTTGGGTGGTGGAGGTTATACTCTTCCAAATGTTGCCCGTTGCTGGTGCTATGAGGTTCTCTTTTGTTAACTTCGACTATGTGTTTTCATATCATACAAGTCTTTGTTCTGAAAAGGTGTTTATTCTTGTTGCCTTGTTGCAGACAGCAATTGCGGTTGGAGTCCAACTTGACAATGATCTCCCAGCCAATGACTACATGAAGTATTTCCGTCCAGATTACAATCTTCATGTATTGCCAACCAACAGGCAGAATTTAAACACACCAGGAGATATTATGACAATGAGGTAACCTTTCTATTAAGACTGATCAAGTTTGGTGCCAATAATAGTTAAGATGTTCCCAGCTTTTGCTATATAAACCTCTTTGTCAATCCTCGTCCTTCTCTTATCTAATTATGGAGCTCCATGATTAAAACTATATGTGCCTTCAATTATAGGGAAAGATTACTAGCGCAACTTTCACAAGTAATGCACGCACCTAGTGTACAGTTTCAAGACACTCCATCAAGCAGTCAAGCCACTGAAGCGGTACAGTTTCATTCATTCATTTCTGCTTATAAACATTCTACAATCATTCATTCAATACTCATTTCCAAGTGTGTTTTGTCCTATGCGGCTAATTAAGATTCACGTGCATATCTGTAGGCGGAAGCGGACATGGAGAAGAGACAAAATCCAAGCACTTTGAGTGGCAATCCAAGTTATGAATCAGACTGTAACGAGGATTAGCAGCATTTTCTAGGATAAGGCCAAGGGTAAAGTGTCATAGGAGGATTCTTCATATTCAAATTTTCACCTTTTTCTGAGTTTTTCCTAAAACCATGTACATAAAGATCGATTTGTGTATAAGAAATCAACATTGTAGATAAGAGTGATCAGAACAAAGCTCATATATTGTAGGAAGTTGAAGCAACGTATTGTTGTTGACAAAAGTCTCAAAAATTCTCTCTGCATTATGTGTACACTTTAGTGTATTATAGTGTAGTTGATGCTATCTTCAAGAAGATGTACTACAAGATATTGCATATCTCAAGAACAAGAACCACTGACTTTATTTATCATTCCTTTCTTGACAAGTTTGGAGATCAACAGTAGCTCAAAGTCAAATACGAATAGGATAATCAATTGTTCAATTTTTTGGGAAAAAAATAAAGAAATCATAATTTTGATTTTCTTATTTTTCTTGTTGATGATATACGTAGTTGAGTGTATATTCTTATGCGTAAATTAGCCTATCGAGTTCTTAGTTATGATTATTATATACAGTAACTATCGATAACGTAGGCATTCACCAAAAAAAACTATCGATAACGTAGGCTGAACAAAGAGATTGAAAACAGAATTGGGATGGAGACATCCAATCCAAAAGAGAAGAAGGAGATGATATGACATATATCTTTTAATGTATTTGGTCAAATTTAAGATAGAATATAGAGTTGGTTGTGGCCTCGGTAGTTTTGATTGACTGGTGATTGTTAACGATAAACTGTAAGAAGAATATATATAAGCATAAGCACCCACACTGGTAAAGAAATCAACATTATGATTTGTGTGTAAGCGTGATTACAACAACAGCCAAATATTATAAATAATTTGAACAACAGATTGTTGTTGACAAAAGTCTCCAAATTTCCCTCATCATCACCTACACTCTAGTGTATTCCTTGATGCTTGTGAAGAGTAAAACAGAGCTCTACCTTCATTTCTTACCCTGTAACAAGTAATCACTGTATAAGTTGTCCATTGAATACTATAAGGCTACCTGTGATCAGTTCATTTATTATTATTCAGATAGAATATTATTTTGTCTAGTTGTTATGAAGATAGCTTCTGGTATCGTACTTTTGAAAACTATACTATCTAACAAATATTTGAATTTGATGTTGTAACATTTAGTACACAATGAGTATTCAGTACCTTAAGGCGAGAAGAACGCCGAGTCGCAGACGTGGATACTGGAGAGAGGAGTGGTGAATCGCTAGCTCTTTTATGTCGCCGATATACTTGAACTTTAGATCTCTTGTTCTCTGGAGTTGAAATGTTTGTATCAGTGGAAAATGATATAGCTGGAGCTGAAGCAGATATGACAGAAGTTTCCTGTTGCAGATGTTCTGAATGTGTTGGCAGCTCTAAGAACCAATAAAACATAAGTCTTGGTCATATTCAACATTATATATTTCGAAAACAATATTTCTGACTTTGGAGATTGAGGTTATAAAAGGATATGCGGAGACTATTTACCAGATAAAGTGGATTTCAGAAACATCTCCCTCATCAGACGAACAAATCTGAAAAGGTCATTGGTTTTATTCAATTCTTGAACCATCCCTTTGATGTCATCCAATTGCAGGTCGCAATCCAATACTAATATAAGATAATGATAGCAACAGTTTCATGTTACAAGATTATTTGTAGACAATAAAACTGTAGTTGATGCTATCTTCAGAGAAACATATATACTCACGTGTGTAGATGTCATTTCCATAGTGAACTGTAAATGAAAATTCGCGTGTCGGCCTTTTTGCATCAATGTTGGTGAATGTGAATTTAACTCCTGTAAGAGAAGTTGAAACAACAAGATCTTTTAGGGTCAAGGTTCAGTAATAAAGAACTAGGATTGTTACAAAAGCAGTTCGCTCTTATTACCATGTCCAGCTTCAACATGAAAACCAAGAGCCTGATTGTACCAAGAGATGGCTTCATGGATATCTGATTTTTCTTCAGTGACTTTGCCAGCATTATCCTTAGATGTTGACAAAGCTTTATCGGAAGAAATAAATAGAAATATGTTAAGCTTGGTCTTCAGTAAATTATGTGATTTCTTCAAGTAAAATAGAAAGAAAGCAGAGTACTTTTCCTAGATCTTCACTTTACAAAGTCCCAAAAGCATGTAGCTGACTCATGAAACTTCTATGTATATAAAGTTGAGAATTACATATAAAATCAGTAAAGCTAACAATACCTTGCAACTGTTGGGAGATCATTCTCGCAGAGTCTTCCTTCTTTGACTTCTGCAACTGCAACTTTCTTCTAAGCACTTCAATCCTAGACTGTGTTGCAGATATGGAATCCCTAATCCCCATTTGCCGTGCCTCTTTACGGGTCTTCACTAAACACAAAGATCGAAAACATCCCAAAGCGGTAAGATATCCAAGCTCAGCAAAACATGATACTGATGTTCTAACAAAGCAAAATATTGTAATCTATACAAGCAAGAAAACAACACCAAGGAGAATCTTATGTTTTCAACATCTTATTTAAGAAACTGGAACAAGTTCAAAGTTTAAAGCTTTTAAGGTAATGGGATGTGAAGGTGGTGAATGATACCTGCCAACACTTTAACGAGTTCATCCTCTGCTTCTCTCAGATCCGCTTTCATATTCGCTAGTTCCACTGTAAAAATCAAAGATAGAACCGCTCAATTTCACCAGTCTGATTCAAATTAGAAAACCCTAATTTCACAGAGACAGAACCTAAACCCAAAAATGTTTAAAATTGACGAGTTGGGTCATACGAAAATGAGTGGTACTAATCGAATTTTGAATTTAACCTTGGCTTTGTGCAGTGGCTTGAGCTCGCTCCAGTAATGAGTCCATCGATCTCCTGAAAGGAGAAGCGATGAAGGAATCGATTTTATTACGCTGTTCATCTAAATCTTTCTGACACATGAGTCCCAGTGACGCCATAGTCTTCCTCGCCGTTGTATCTCCACCAGCGATGCCGCTAATTTGTTTCATCACCAAAGCGAGAGTGAGAGAGAGAGAAAGAGAGAGACTCAATTGAAGTTTAGCCCGCCATTTGAATTTGATTTTGAGTTTCGAAATGCTTCAAAACGCTAACTACCGAGACAGATGAGATCCCCCAAAACGACAGTGTTTTATAATTTGATAAATCCAAACTCATTGGGCTCATAACTATTAATCCTCAAATGGCCCATTAGTGTATATGTTTTCTTTTAGTTAAACCATTGAAGTTTCGGATCTTTGGCCCATAATCTCTTTCGATATAATTATCATCGGTGATAACGTAAATTAGATACTTCGATGGTTACATTTTGTGGAAAGTTGTAAGTTTTTTACTGACACACATTATAGTTATATACTACCGTTACATGCACTATTGTGTTAATACATTTCCGTTACGCTGTTTTGTTCAACTTTATTACACATTAGAGAAAGACAAAGACTCTGTTAAAGTGCATTAAACTACGTTACGTACGTTTCGTTTCTACAGTTCATGTCTTCTCTAATCTCTACCTGTTCAAATGATTTTGCCAGGAAGTTCCTATCATTCAAGATCTAAATATCTCGATCATAGAGAGTTTACGAGGCTAAAACTGGAGTCAACAGGTACTTAGATTGACTTGAAACCAGAAGAACGAGTTACAAAAAAAAAATATTAAAAATTGATTTGTAGACTCAAATTTCTTATGAAAAGAAAGAAAGTGACTTTTCATTAATCTTAATATATTGGTGGATTATTGTTTTCATTACATAAGATTAACAAAATACTTATTACATTAGAACATTTGATGATGATGATCTATCCTCCGATGTTGTTCACTCCTACAGCCTTCACCCTGCAATGTCGCCGTAAATATAAATCATTATTCAAAACACAAATTAAAAGATTTGCATGATCCATATATATATATATGTAATATAATTAAAGAGTTTATATATGAGTTATGATGTATTATTACAAAGGAAGAGGTGGAGAGCCACATTTCTGGTGTAGACATCTACGGAGACAAGGGGATTCAGGGATGGTGATGCGGCCGCCACATTGGTCGATGCAAAATTGCTTGCATGTCGGTCCTAACCTCATTGCTTCTCCTTCTCTTGTGGATGCCATCACCACCACGATCACTATCATCATCATCATCATCATACTCCATTTCTTCATCTCCATCTTTTATAACTTATTCTTTCCTTTGATTCTATAAGATTATGTGTGAGTTTGCTTTCTCTCTGTTAATTTGTCATAATTGTGTGTGTGTGTATATATAATGGCCAAACATTTATTACTATAAGTTTAAAGTTTGACTAAAGGATAGAAACAATAAAATAATCATAATTACTTTTTTTTTTTTTGGGCAACTAATCATAATTACTTATAAATATTCTATACTTATTTTTATTTTATACCATTTTCATAAGTTCTATATATTAAGTAAATATATACAGTAAAACCTATATAAATTAATATTCTATAAATTAATAAACATTATAATGCAATAAATTTCTGCTGGTTCCAAGTTGGGTCAGTGTAAAAATTAATTAAATTTGATAAGATAATAAGATAATATTTTTTTTTAAATCCCTATGTAATACTCCATCTGTTTCATTATAAGTGATGTTTGAGGTTTTGGCACAGTACTAAATAATAAAACATATAACTTACCCATTTTCCATACAAACATCATTAACTAATATGAATTCAACCAGTAAGAAAATATGATGTAAAATATAATTGGTCAAAACATATTAAATACATTAAATTTTTGCATAGAAAATTGAAAACATCATTTATATTGAAAAAAAAAATTGGCTAAAACATCACTTATAATGAAACAGAGGGAGTATATAGTACCAAAAATATCATAAATTAATAATCACTATATATATATACATATATAGCATATATAAATATCAATCATATATGATATATATAAGTAGATATGTTGAAATATTCTTTTTTAGTTTTTGTAAAAATGCATTTTCTCCTAGAGCTCATCTCTATAAAAAAATATTTATGTTATTTAAACTACAATCTTATAATATACTCCATAACATCATAAAATAACCAAAATTTTCTGTATGTTTTCTATTTATAAATATGTATCATATTCATTTTTGTTTGTTTTACAGGATGTTAAAAGATAAAAATTGAGGTATTAATCATAAATTTGAATATATATGTATGTAATTTGTATATAAGTGAATTTATTTATAAAATTTAATTTCTTGTTAAAGTTTTTTTTAAAAAATATAGAATTCAATTCCAAACTATACAAAATTATAATCTTAAAGATACTTTATACAAAATTTAATTTCTTGAAGTATACTTTAGCTAAACAAATTTGGTTATAATGTTAACACTTCATAACAAATTCAACGTTGGGATGATTTGGAAGACATTGAGAAATGAAATGTTAGAGACGCAAAGTGTACTTTTTTTTATCAATGTTAAAATATGAGAAGAATAGAGTACACTAGTTTTTAGTGGGCCTTGATCGACAATTCAAGATTTAGGAAAGTAAGAACCGAATCATAAAATCTGTTGAACCAAATTGAGCTTAAGTTGTATAATATATAAAAATCGGTATCAATAAACAAGCCAAAAACACATCTAAACAACAAAGTGTTTTATGAATATCACGAACAATAAAACTAAATTTTTATCTTTAATTATTAGCTATGCTTTTGATCTAATTAAAAATCTAGAATAATCTATCCTCTGATTCCATGCTTTTGTTGAGCCTTCATCCTCCTAGAAGTCATAAAGAGTGAAAAAAAAATAAAAAATTCAGTTTTGTTATAAACAATTAACTTTATATTGTAAGGAAAAATATATACAAAAATGGATAAAGAGTATATAGAATATTTTACTTAGAATGATAAAGATTGGTAGGAAGAGAAGGAGGACCGCAATTAAAAAAGATGCATTGACGGACGCAATTCCTATCCCCAAGAACACACATATGCGTACACCGTTTCACACAATCCTCATATGACTCCGCAGCCTTGACCTCACCTATCATGGTTCCAACCAACACCATCATCATCATCATAAACATCAACATTACCTTCATCATCCCCATGATCTCTTTTCTCTTTTAACTTTTGTTTATTTTATTTGTGTTATAAATTTGTTAGAGTGAATGATCCCTTATTTGTAGTCGTGTAAACCTAAACAGTTCTACGTCATTAATATCGTATTTAATAAGTTGACCAAACAAATGTAGTTTTTTTTTGGGGGTCAAATATATATAATGTTCTCTTTATTAGTATTACTTTAATACTATTTTGAGAAATGTATATATCATGAATTAAATTATATTATATCTTAATGTGTTAAATTTAAGGAAAAAGCATCTTCCATATTTATATCGCCTTAATATTCATGGCTATAGCATCGTAACATAAATAATTCGTGGTCTTTTTTGACTAAATCGCCTTATAGCCACGAATATTTGCGTTTGCGCAATTGGCTATAAGTTATTTTTTTACTAGATATAATACGCTATATTGATAGTTCAAAACTTTTGCTTGAAAATGAATAAAAATACGAAACTACTCAAAATTACCAGTAAATATTAAAGTTATTTTATCTTCAAGTCTTAAACTTATCTTTATTTAAATATTGATTGAAATTTTTTTCCAATGATGTATAGTCAAAAACTAAAAACATCAATTCTTATAAAATTATAAGTATTTATTTTTCCACATTAAAAACAGGAGAAATGCCCTTTTTCATAGTCTTGACATACTTAATGCTCAAAACTTAGTAAGAAAAAGTTGGTCTTCTTAGAAAAATAGAAAATATCATTCGCAATACTCCATATAGTAACTAATTATATTTTCATTTTGTTGTTGATTTCTTTGACCAATTTCCCCTATTAAACATTTTGGACTACTCATAACAAAGATAACAAGATATAATTATTTCTCCCTGATATCTTTTTCATATTAATTTTAGCATAAAACTATGGTTGTTTCTCTCCTCAATCGAAGAAGGTTGTTTGGTTTCATGACATGCTACAGAATTTAAAATCCAAATTAAGTGTCCAAGTTAAACATGATTAAAGTGATGATGTCGTGGTGGCATAAAATTTTGTTTCTATTCGTAGTCTAGCAGATAGTTTAACCACGCTAATCATTCTTACCATACCATTAAACAAAAATATTTCACCCTAGCAATGTTGAAATCTTGTGTGTCGCGATCGTAGTTCAACTCCTCGCTCCATTATCAGTTTGTTGATACTAAATTAAAATATTGATTTCATCTGTTTTGTTTGTAGCTAGGTAGATAGATTGCCAATATATATATATTATACGTACTATAAAAGAATATAAAGAGTATAATATGAATGTCATCATGAGATTTAATTTAAAGAGAGAATTATATATATATAATCCCAAAACATGATTACAAATTTGAAAACCCAAATGCTGATCAAAATATGCCAATCTCCACAAGCATGGGAGGATACATGTATTTATCTGATTTAATCAATACTCATTACTAATCTTAATGTTATAATTACTGAAAGTAGAGCTTATTTTGATCGATTTAGTTAACAATTCGAAAAAATATATATTTAGACGATGATTCCGTTGTGGGAACAGTACTTTTTATGTCAATCATTTCTTGAAGCCAAAATTTAATTGATCATTTTGATTAGCTTACAAATATATCAATAATGTTTCTACTCTCTAATGTTTCTCATTCCTACGACAGCCTCCTTCCTGCAATATCACCATATGATTGATTAAAACCATTGTCACTTTTCTATATATACACACAGCAAGAAAATATAGTCAAGTATTCTTTTTTTTTTTTAAGCCTGTTTAAAAAAAAAAAAAGCATTTTTTTTTTTGTTTTTTGGTTAACAAACACAAGTATATTCAAGCCTGTATTTTTTCCTATTTAACTGTAATATATCTTTACTTTTGTTCAAATTATAATATCTATTTATCATAGTTTTTTTTGATAAACGTAAAACACAAACTATCATTTTGGGCTTATGTTAAGTTTATCAGTTTTTTTTTTTTGGTTAGAATCATCTCTTACAGAAAAGCATAATAATACGAAACTTAAACAGAATAAAGAATTAGAAAATTCAAAGTTAATGTAATAAGTGAAGAGATTATTACTTCCGTGATTGAAATGGATGACTTGGTGGTTTGTGGCAATGCTCACGTATACATGGAATGATGCATGTATCTTCAGGGACATAAAGACCACCACACTTAAACATGCACTTGTCCTCGCATGAGAGTCCCTCTACTTCTCTTCCAATGGTCGCTATTATCACTGCCACCAACAACATCAATACAATGCACTTTCTCATAGTCATTTCTCTCAAGTCTTCTTTTTATTTTATATGAAAAGTTTATGTGTATATATGTTCTATAAAATTTGTGTATGTATATATACACAGATGACATAATGACCAAACCTTGATTTGGTATTTATGTTCAATTCGGAAACACATTTGTAGGTCAAACTAGTCAACCGTTCTAACTTTGACTTTCTTTGAATTAAGATTTACTAAGGTAATTTTTATTCCATATATGAATTTATGTAAATTTTATGGATTAAACTGTTTAAAAAAAGTTTCAAAATTATTTTAGCTTTTTAAATAATTATATAAACTACTTTATTGTAGATAAACTCTAAAGAACAAAAAGTCAGAGATCGATTATAGCCACTACGCATTAAGAATAAAGGAATGCGAGACAAAATCTTCTCCACCAAATCTCTTGGAAGATTGGACATATTCACCGTTTTTTTCTTTCTTCTATTTCAATTTCCAACACGGATCGATGGAGAGTTATGTAGAGAATCTATTTATTGAATCGTTTTAAAATATTTAAATTGAATAGAAAAATTAAAGAATTTCAAGATTTTAATGTGATAATATAAAGTAACTGACAAATTCTATCACACCACCACAAAAGAGGAGACTTGTTTCTTTATTTGTATTTCTTTATTTTCTATTAAATTTAAATCAAATAACATTGCCATGAAAACCATCTTAATATTGAATAATATTAGTATTTACTAGAATTCTTAAACAAAAAAAAACTGAATAACATTAGAACTTAAATTTATGAAATACACAATTCAGTAACACTAGACTTGTAATTAAAAAAAAAAAATTATTTCAAACTCAATGAATGATTATAAAATATTGAAAATGAATATAAAAATGAAAGAATTTCAGATTTTAATGATATTAACAATAATGAAAGATTTTTCAACTATATAGTTATGTGAGAATATCTTATTATATAAAATTTGGTTTCAAAATTAGCAATTAACAAGCTCGTGACCCGTGTCAAGTATATTAATAAGATTCTGACATGTGTAATTCTTTTTTCTAAATCAAAAAGGAAAATTAACAAAATAAAATATGTATATTGTTAATTTTCCATTGCATGTGTGCTCTCAATTAGATTTTGACATTAAAAAATATATAATTTTAAAAGAAAAACAAAATGAGTTATTTAACATAATTTTTAAATGAATACAAATGTTATTTTTTTGTTATAACATAAAAAATTAATTTGTAAGTAAAAACACAAAAACTTAAAAAAATAGAGAACTTATAAAAATAAGATTAAAATCCGTGATAAATATATGTATTAGTATAGTTTTTACATGTGTTTATTTTAAGATTGTAATGGATGTAATTGATGTGAAAACATAAAGAAAATAAAAAGGAAAAAATGAGCACATATGAATGAATTTTAGTTATTTGATTAAAATTAAAGAGAACGTTAGTTAGAAACATTCTTGGGAGTGCATGGATCATTCTTATCCGTGATGGACTTATCCTAATCTGTAAGCCAATCAAATATAATTTTTTGATGTTTTGCTGAGATTAATGTTTGTTAATTGGTATGGTTTAGTCACAACGGTGCTAGGTCGACCTACTTTAGCCACCGCCTTTAGCGTCGTGACTCGTAACACTTATATCAGATTGTTTTTCTATGTCTTGTAATAAAGATCCATCTTTTCATTGAAAGTATCATCACTGATCTGAAAACGATGGTCCCATCCCATGTGTATTGAATGTTAAGTTTAGGAAGAAGTGACTTTAAATGCTTCTTGTTGGTTTTTTTCTAAACATTAAGCAACACAGAAACGCAATTCTAGTAGCATTGGTGTCCTTACAGAACATCTAAATCATTCTAAAAGATTTGTCTCTTGTTAGAAGTTGTACGATATTTTGTGTAGACTTGTTCTTGCACTTTAGATTTTAGCTTAGCTAGAAGAAACTTTGTTTCTGTTGCACAACATGGCAACAAAACTACGAGAAGAATTACATTATAAGTTTATTCTTTTCCTTATGTCATTTTTTTCTTTTCAAGTTGTGGCATAGACAAAGTATATAATACAGACAGACAGTCCTGGAATAATAATAAATTCTTCAAGAGTTTGTCTATTTCTTGAATTAGTCTCTCTTCTTTTTATTTTCCTTCTCTCTCTCTCTCTCTCTCTCTTCCAATCACTGTATCTCCCATCGCTCTCATGCATACACTATCCGTTATCTCTCTTCCAAAGCCATCATCGACCACATAAGCAACTACCCATCTTGTTTTTAATCCTCTGCCTCTCTCTCTTTTCCTCTTCACCAACTCATTATCTCTACAATGTCTTCTTCTGCTCTGTCCAGAATAATAGTCTAAGTGAATTCCATGGCTGTCATTTGCTTATAAATTTTTACTCTCTGTACTAATGATTGTATCATAAGGAGTTTTCAAAGATCTAAGCTGCTGCATTTTTTTTGTTGGAGAAAATGGGTCTACTTAAAAGTGCATGGCTTCTTTTGCTTTTCTGGGTTGTCTCTTCTCCTTTGTGTTTCAGGTTTCATTACTGTTATGGTTCAGAGCTCTCTGTCAAGTTCTTGAAAGCACCTCCTGCTACTTCAAGATTTAGCTCTGCTAAATTTTCCTTTCAAGCTTTTGAGGATGGAAACAGAACTTGTTCAAGCTGCAGGTTCCATTGCAAGGTTGAGTTTATTAGACCCTCGCCAGCTATAAAGTCTTCACTGTCAACCAAATTTCTATATGGGTTTGCTGAGAAAAGAGTTTTGAGTTTGAAATCAAGAATTGTGTCAACTTAGTTTAAGTTTGGCTTTACTGCCTATTTAACTTTTGTGAATGGCCAACAAACACATGTGTCTCTGTTTGATGGAAAAAGATTGTGTGTTCACTGCAGCTAGATGACCGTTTTAGTTTTGATTGCCATCAAAGAAGAGTATCCTACACGAAGTTGCTAGATGGGGATCATACACTTGAGGTCTGCGCAAATAAGATGCATGGATTTGGCTGCAATACCTATCACTGGACTGTTGGTAAAGACACTATTCTTACACCTCTTTGTTTTTTTTTCGTGAATCTTTCTTGTTTGGCCCTTTTATTGCTTTTAGACACCATTTCACTTAATTGTGTATGCAGATACGGTTTCACCTACAGCCTTTGTGACTGCATCAATGCCATTTACAAGTGCAAAAAACGTGTCTGTTAATATTACTTTTACTGAGCCATGTGTTGGTGGCAGAGGTTTTAGATGTTCATCTGTGAATGCCTGCGACGTGAGTACGTAACCTTATTTACATGGGATAATCTCAATAGTTTGAGGCTTTCATCTTCTTGTTCTCTAGTCTTGACACGGTTTTAAGTGATGTAACAGCTTCTTGTCTACGGTGCTGGCCAAGTTATACCGTCTTCACTCACTGTTCTTGACCAATTTCTTAAATATTCACTGCTTGTGGGATTATCTCCTGATGCTCAATATGGAAGGATTGTGTTGGTGATGAATAAGAATGTTTGTTCTGACAAAGCTGGTAACAATTTCAAGAGAGCTTTGGGTTCGCGTTTCTTTGTCCATTTTGGTGAGTTTCCTTACCATTTCTTTATCCGTTTGGTTTTCTTTAAGAAAAAGCTTTAAGGAAGACTGATTTTGAACTTTGTTGGCATCTAGACAGAAGAAACGTTTTTGTCGACCTACGAACTCATGTCCCAGAGAAGTTACTTAAGCTAAACAACCAAACTAGGACGGTGCAGGCAACCAATGATAATGACAAGCTGAATGTTTACTTGTACTTCTCTGAACCGGTACTGAATTCTTCAACTGAAATTCTCAGACTACTAAGCACAAACCAAGGTGATTTGCTTCCTGTTGATGGAAAAACCAATGGGAATCGCCGTTTTGCGTTTATGGTTTGTGTTTCACTTGCTCTCTCCCAGGGTTATTTGGTGCTTATCATTCTATTTCATTGCATGTTAATCCTTTAATAATGTAACATTCAAACTCTTTTTTTGTCCTCAGGTCACAAATACATCACGGCGTGCTATAGTCACGGTGACCCTTGACTCGGATTCAATAAGAAGCAGACATGGGACACCTGCATCTCCAACTGCACCACTGACTTTTCTTTATGGTGAGTAAGTTACACATTTGGTTTTTTTCTAGATATATTTTTTCATTCGTTCACTAAGATGAAACATCCATGTGCCTGATCTTTATATAGATACCGAGAGACCTCATGTTTTATTGAACACAACATCTGGTATGAGGACAAGAAAGCACACCATCCCTGTCTGGATAAAATTCATGAAGCCTGTGTTTGGGTTTAACTCCTCATTTGTATCAGTCTCAGGGGGATATCTTGATAGGTTAGTAGTTTGTGTTTCTTTGAACTTCTCATAAAAATTGTAGTTTTGATGGTAAGTGATAGTTTCTCTTCTTTTGTTATCTACAAATTTCCAGCTTTGAGGAACTGAGTGGAAGCATATATATTGTATATGTAAAAGCCAACACCAGTACAATTTCTGTGAAGGTTCCTGAAAATGTTACTCAGGATGTCGCTGGAAACAAAAATTTAGCATCTAATATCCTAGAAGTGAAACATTGTAAGCGTTTTAACCACTTTATATCTGTTATCAAGTGTAATTTGTTTATTTTTTTGCTTCTGCCAATGGTTTCCAAATGTCGCACTTCATTGCAGATTCTGTGCCTGTGCTATCTTCTGTGATTTCTTGGATATCAACTTATATTTTCTTGGTGACATCTTTCGTTGCGGGTCTCCTCACTCTTTCAACCACAAGCCTTTATTCTCTTGGCGCATTTCCAAGACCATCTCCTTATCTCATATCAGACCCTACAAGGAACCTTTTCGTATGATTTTTTACTCATTTATAAAACAACACATTTCTTTTGCCTTTGCTTCCCTGCAAATTACATAATTAATCCAATGGTATTGTATGCTTTGTGGTTCTAATGCAGAGAACTGCCTGTCACATTCAGTTTTTTGCACTCTCAAGATGGCTACCAGTGACATTGCCTGTTGATTATTATGAATTTGTGAGAGGGATTCAGTGGATAATCCCTTATTTTCCTCTCCCATGGGAAACTAAGCACAAGGAACAGATCATGGTGGCCACAAGTCCTTACATTGGTCCACATTCCTATATTTCTAAAACTCAGAACGACATGATTAATCTACAGACATCAACTAATGCTGAGTCAGTATACGGATTGCCACTCACCGCGATGGAGTACAGATTATTCTTTGAGGTCACAAGAAACTAAATTCCTCAACGCTTGTTTTTTTTGGTTGTATTTCATTACTCGTTTGTTCATGTTTTGATACTGTATGAATGTTTACAGACCTCAAATCTTAAGCCGGAAGCAGAACATGTTCTTGGTCTACCTCATTCAACAGTGTAAGTCACTACAATCCTCGTTTGTGAAGATGACATTTCAGCATTGGTTGCTTACATTTCATTTAAGAAGAAGCCATAACTCTTTGATTTATAATTCTTCTTTCTTGTAGATGGAGAGATTTCTATAGGATCATGTTTTGGTTAGCTATTATTGGGGGAAGTTTGGTACTATTGCATATATTCCTCTCTCTTATACTGAAGTTCAAGAAAGCACACACTGAAAAGAAGAGGAGTTTCGGTGCGTTTGTCTTCCCAAGATTCGAGCTGTTTCTTCTCATTCTCGCTTTACCCTCAATCTGCAAAGCTGCAAGGAGTCTCATACAAGGTATTGTTAATACCAGCCTTGCAAGTCTCAGACAAGGTTTAGTTGGAAGAATCTGTGTTAACTCATTCACTAAATTCTCTCTTTCTCAGGGTATTTCAAACATCAAGGAGCTGCAGAAGCTAGTGTCATTGTTGGCATCCTCGTGCTTTGCGTGGTAGCTGTTCTGCTTCTAGCATTGTTTATCTTTCTCTCGTTCGGGATAACGTTTGGGAAGTTGTTACAGTACAAAGAAATCCATCAAGAAGGCCAAACTTTCCACTGGTACCAAGAACTCATCCGAGTGACCCTTGGTCCTGGTAAAAGAGGCCAATGGACATGGAAAACAGAGAAGAACTCTGTCTATCTAACTAGGCTAGGTCCAGTATTCGAAGACTTAAGAGGTCCACCAAAGTACATGCTCACACAGATCTCAGGAAGCAATCCACTCAAGCAACGAGATGATCGCATCATCGCATCAGATGATGAAAACGAAGATGCTGAAGCTCCTTGCATACAGAAACTGTTTGGAATCCTTAGAATTTACTACACATTTCTCGAAACTGTGAAGAGGGTGTGTTTGGGGATTATTGCTGGTGCTTACTTTGACAACGAGACTGCGAAAACTCCCATAGTGGTCTTGTTGAGCATCACTTCCTTTCAGCTGTTTTTCCTAGTTCTCAAGAAGCCATTCATCAAGAAAAAGGTACAGCTCGTTGAGATCATCTCCATAGCATGTCAAGTCGGTGTATTCGCCTCGTGTCTCACGCTATTGACGAAAGAATTCCCAGAGGCTAGCGCAAAGAAACTCGGGATATTTATGGTCATGTTGTTCTTGATTGGGTTCATTGCACAGATGTGCAACGAATGGTACTCATTGTACAAACAAACAAAGCGGTTAGACCAAATCAACAGATCCTTCTTGAGTGGTCTCAAGATGTTTATCATTGGAATTGCCGCGTTAATACTGCCACATAAAATGATGAAGAGCAAGATACCTGCAGCTCAACTAGAAGGAAGAAGCAACAGCAATGGAGGCATTCCATTCTCAACCCCGGAAAACAGGTACATGAATTCTTCCGGAAGCCGAAGCTCGGGTAGTTTGGACAAGCCATGGTTGAGACAGATTAGAGAAATGGCAAAGGCTAGCTTCACAAGAGACAGGAGCAATAGTAAGGTTCCTAGTGATCCTTCGGGTAGCAAAAGTGGTTGGAGCAGTAGTATTTGGGGAACAAAGACAAGTGGAAGCTCTTCTAAAAACTCGTCTTCAGATTACAAATCCAGACCTAAAGGACTTTACAAAGATTTAGAAGCCATTTTTGCTTCAAAGTGATACTAAAAACATAATAATGTCATCAGTTTCTGCTCTGTGTATTCATTCTTGTACTCATTGAGTCATGAGGGTTACTTTATGATATTTAAAAACTGATGGGGTTTAGTAGGTATTAATACGAAGTATGAGGGCTGAATTGATCTTTTCACGAAAATAGTATATTTATAAATTAATATTATTTTATTAAGAAAAATAGTGGAAAAATTCGGAAACTGTCCGCGTCGCTGTGAGCTTCATGAGTCCCATGCCTTGTCTTGTTTGGCTCCGAGAAAAATCAATTCGAAAGAGACGAAGAAGCTCGAAGCATAAAGACGAAGCTAATTTACGCATCGTACAGCTTACATCGTGCACCTAAATCTCAGTTCCGCAGTTGCTTCTTCTTTCTCAAGTACTTGGGTCGATCAATTATCAATTTCAAATTTCAATTTCTTCCGATTGGGGAATTTGGCGTGCTTGGATCTGCACCAATTGGTGTGAGAATCCGTCTTCGTTCGTTATCTATCGATCGATTTTGTATAAGTTACTGTTTCTGATTCGGTTTTGATTTTGGTTGTGGTTTCAAATGATCAATGGAGAGGAGGAATCGTCGAGAGTTGAGTCTCTAGATTTTACTGATCAGTTACTGCAGAAGGAAAGTGGTGGAGATGCTTCACCAGGTTCATCGTTACATTACTCGTCTTGCGGTGAATCAGAGTTTGAGCGGTATTGTAGTGCTAATTCGGCTTTGGGAACGCCGAGTATGTGTAGCTCTACAGGACCGTTTCAGGATTCGTTGGAATCTGAATTTGGATCTTTCAAGGGAGGACTTTTTTCTGGGGATGCCACTGAGTTTGAGAATTTTAGCTTGGGGCCAAGTCTAATAAAGCTCTCCTCTTTGGATAACACACGAGGAATCCAGTTTTCTGATGAGGGTGGGTCTTGTAATGGTAGAATTACTATTGCACCTGGTTTAAACACCGGTATGATTCAAGAAAGTGGATATAGTGAAGATATGTCTGGTGAGTTGATGGACAGTGAAGCAACAATTGAAAAAGATTCCATGAATCAGTTAGGTGAAATGGAAAATAAGGAGGTAATGTGTAGATCAGATTCACAATTCCATACAAATGGTATAAATAGAGAGGATGGAAGTTCGATAGATGATGGACATTCTGATGGCGATGACTCACTTAGTGATACAAGTGATCATTCTGGTAAATATGTTCCCCGGAATTTACAGTATATAAAGGAGCCTAAAGATGAGAAAGATAATCCATTTCTCATCAATTCTTCCACTGCCTTTGGCACAAATGATTGGGATGAGTTTGAGCTTGAAGCCACAGAACTTGTTGACACTCATTTTGACTTCAGCGGGTTTGAGAATCACGATAAAGGGTGTACTGGAAGTGAAGGGACATCCACAAATTCATTTTCCGTAGCTTTACAAAAGCTTCCAGATGTAGCTCAAGCAGGAAAAGGGGAAGAGCATACAAATGTAACTGTGAGCACTAGACATGCTCCAGATGTAGGTGAATTTTGTTCAAATATTGACGATATACTAAGGTCTAGAGATTTAACTGTCTCAACTCAAAGGGAACAAGGTGACGTAGGAAACGACAGCATAACTGCCAGAGGTTTTGGAGACCTGAGTCCCAAAGACAGAACCTTAGTGGTTCCTCAATCACTAGTAACAGATGAGTCTCTTCATGACAGCTGTCTTAGCAACAATCAAACTAAAGATAGACCTGTCGTCATGAATTACCTTCAATCTTCTAGCGCTGACGACTTCCTCGACATTACACCAGTTGAGTTAGGAAACGAAGAATTTTCAGGTGGGGTTTGTGACCTAGATGCCAATGAACTACTTCATGAATCATCTGAGAATGGAAAACAGTCAGATACATTTGAAGAGTGCACCTCAGAACAGTTGTTGGCATCTCAGAACTCGGATAAGCCTTCATCTAGAGATTCACATCCTGTATCAAATGCCTTACAAGTCACTTACGGACAACCTAAGGTCAGCTGCTTAATGAAATTATTTATGATGATTTTTTTCTGCTTGTATTATAGAATGTGTCCTCGGGTAATGTATGAGTCTGTTGTGTCTGGGTAAACATTGCATTTCAATTTATTATGCTCCTCCCATATATAGAAAATGGAAATCTGAGGGGTTAATTGGCTGTTGTCTGACTACTGTTGTATTAGTGTCCCCATTCTAAGCCACTTGTTCATTAAGAAGGGATCCTGCAATCTGTAATTCTACTTTATCTCCTTTTGCTTTGATTCTTTTATTTTTGAATGAAATAATATGGTTTCGAATTTCTCATCTTGCAGAAGGAGAACACAGAGCTTAATGACTTTTATGATGATTTTGTTCATGATATGGAAGAGATACTGCTAGACTCTGGTGAATCATCTGGGGCAAGATTTTCTAAGAATGACAAGATGTTCCAACTACAGCTCTCTCTGCCTAACAGGGATGGGGGGCAAACTGCTACAACATCTGGTCTTGATGATTCATCTCCAATAGTTTCCCAGCGATTTAGGATTGATAGGGTTGAAGTTGTCGAGGTAAAGAAAAAGAAAGGTGATGTCTCGCTGAGTGAAAGATTGGTTGGGGTGAAGGAATACACAGTATATGTCATAAGGGTTTGGAGTGGGAAAGACAAGTGGGAAATTGAAAGAAGGTATCGTGACTTTTATAGTCTCTACCGTCGGTTGACATCTTTATTTGCTGATCAAGGCTGGACGCTTCCTACACCTTGGGCCTCTGTAGAGAAAGAATCCAGGAAAATATTTGGAACGTCCCCCAATGCTGTTGCTGAAAGGACTGTCCTTATTCAAGATTGTTTAAATTCAGTTCTCCAGTCCCGGTTTTTTCCCACACTTCCAAATGCGTTACTAAGGTTTTTGTGCCCTCAAGATGCATGTGCTAATTCTTCTGGGTCGGATTCTATAGTATCTCCAACATGCTCTGATGGCATCACTGCTACCGCAACCAGTTCTTCGTATGGAAATACCATCTCGTTCATTGTTGATGTTCGGCCTCACAAATCAGTAAAGCAGTTGCTAGAAGCGCAGCATTATATTTGCGCTGGATGCCACAGATACTTTGATGATGGAGCCACTCTTGTTCGGGACTTTGTGAATGCTCTTGGATGGGGTAAGCCTCGGCTTTGCGAATATACTGGTCAATTGTTTTGTTCTTCCTGCCACACAAATGACATGGCAGTTCTACCAGCAACAGTGTTACATCAGTGGGATTTTCATCGTTATCCAGTTTCTCAGTTGGCAAAATCATATCTGGACTCCATACATGAGCAGGTAAATTTAGGTCTAGTGATATTTGGTGTGATTTATTGACATTTTTTGGATACTAAGTGCTGAGGTAGAACACATTCCTTAGCAATACCTTTACTTCGCCTGGATATGGTTGATGTCTGACAAATCTTATTTTGCAACCTATGCTTTGTGTCAGTGCAGTCAACTCTTTTCTGACAAATCTTATTTTGCAGCCTATGCTTTGTGTCAGTGCAGTCAACCCTTTTCTGTCCTCGAAGGTCCCTGCACTCAACCATATTATGAGTGTCCGGAAAAGAATAACTATTATGCTTCCATATGTACGCTGCCCATTCCGCAAGACACTTAACAAAGGACTCAGTTCTCGGAGATACCTTCTTGAGAGCACTGATTTTTTTGCTTTGAGAGATCTAGTTGATCTTTCTAAAGGGCCATTTGCTGGTGATTTTCTTGAACTAAGTACTAAACTTCATGTGTGTCTGCGCTCATGCATATTTTTCCTCATGCTTGCACATGTTGACTCGTTTAATGTTAAGCACTTTATCTATTTCCTTGCGTTTTTAACATTGCCCTTAATAATGGCAGTTCTTCCTGGAATCGTGGAGACTGTTAGGAGAAAAATCCTGGAGCATATTACAGAACAGTGCCTTGTTTGTTGCGATGTTGGGGTTCCCTGTAATGCCCGGGAAGCTTGTGATGACACATCCTCTTTAATATTTCCATTCCAGGTGAATATATAACACATCTTCCCTTTTCTTAATTTTGGGTGCTTGATCACCAATTCATAGCCTTGATGGCATTGGATTTTTCTTTCCTCTACATGTTCATAATCCACCCCATATATTGAATGCAATGATTAGGAGAAAGATGAGGTTAACAAATGCCGGTCTTGTGGTTCAGTGTTCCACAAGAGATGCTTAGCAAGACTCTCAAACTGCCATTGTGGAGCACAACTAAAGCCGAACAAGAGCCCTGGAGAGCTGCAAGTATCGGAGAAGAAATCAGATTCTACGTCTGTCTTGCCTTTACGATTCCTCTCAGGTTTATTTGGAAAGTCAAAACAAGACAAAGAAACAACTATTCTAATGGGTTCACTTCCAAGCAACGATCTATAGATATGATTCTTTTGTGTATGTGTGTAAAACATGTCTTCTGTATTGTAAAACCTCAGCTTAACTGCAAGAATATAAACATACCTTCTTGTACCTTTTTTCTCGTTAAAAGACAATAAAATACGGTCCACTGAAATTCTTCTAGTTCATTCAACCAACTCACTATAGGAAACATGAGTAAAAGAAGTAAATATATTATAAGCATGTTGCTTCACATATTCGTACACCACGTAAAAGTCATTTCAAGTATCCTCTCTCCACCTCCTAAGCTAGACAAAATTTGGCAGCGAGTGTTTTCAACTTTACATAAAACGATTTCTCTATTCACAGACAAAAAATTGGAACATGTAGAAGAAGGTTACATCCAAGCTCCCCAGCCAGGGAACATATGGGATAAACGATCTGTGTCAATTGCATCTTGTATTAGTTGCTGTGCCTACAAAGCAATAAATGTTGAGCAAATACAATCAGTAAACAAGTTAGCGTTTCATGTTTCAACCTTTTATTTATATGTCAACAACTATACCTGGCCATGTATGCTTCTCATCTCACCACCCTCATAGCCATCAAGTTTCTGCTTGACACGCATTAAGGCACGCGTAGCATCCTTGTTCCCCTCGAATTCCTCTTGTAACCCTTCCAAGTTCATGCCCTCAAAATCTCCAGTTTCCTGGATCAAAGATCTTTGTGTGAGAAAAGATGACAACATCTTCAAAAGGATAGATATCCTAATATCAAATCGGAATCTTGTCTGAAACAAGACAATGAAGTGGAACACAAAATTCTGTGTCAAGAAAAAGTCTGCAAGAGAGAGCATCAGAATGGCATCTATTTAAACAACAGGAAAATTAGCGCTCCAGCCTTCTGTGGATGCAAGAATCCGTATTTATATCCACTTTATAATATCTTTGCAGACGCTGCAACCACAAGTATTTACAGTTTAAACTATAAGGGTATGAGGTACCTTCTGTCTTTGCAAAGCCTTCAAGGGGGACAAGGCCCATTTGTACAGAGGATCATGAATAAAAACCTGCAAAACAAGCAAAATCTTGATTAAGTATTTAAAATAGGCTTATATTATTATTATATTGTTGAACACCATTAAAAACATATTTCCAAAGTTAAAATTTCAGATCATGTTACTTCGATAATTGTAAGAAGCGCCTCTTTATTTGCTCGCATCACAGACAGGGTTTCTTCGCAACATCTCCTGAAAACGCCTTCCACTCCTGTGATGCCCATTCCATCAACTATGTCTCGTGTCAGTCTGAACGGAACCTGTCAAATCAGAACAAAAATGAACAGTGAGAATCATACATAGATTATATATGTTGACAAGAAGATCAATTAAATACGTAAAGAGAGGAGAAGGAAGAGAACACACCCTTTCAGGAGTCTTGAGCATCAATCCTTGTTCAAAGGCAACTCCAAGATCTATGTGGACAACTTCTGCGGTGGCTTGATCGATCAAAATATTCATGGCATGACGGTCACCAAGACCAACAATGTACCCAACCTGATAACAAATAATATTACACATTTTCAAGAGGAGATATATCAGAGGGAAAACTAAAGAACATATCTATTTCAGTGGCCCAACTAAGAATAGAGCCATGTCCAACTGGATATCAATAAACCAAAAACAGAAGAAGTGAATAGGATCCTACACCATTATTTTGCTTACAAATGTACAAGCATTCAAGAAAATTTCAACTCAACTAAGATTAATAGCTTCCTAAATGTATTCCACTTTCTCTGATAGCTTATTTTACGCCGTTTAGTAGGGTAAAAACAATTTTTCCCGTTTTATATCCTGAAAGTGAATACATATCATATAAAATGAATATACTTGCCATTGAGCTAGCTGCAACACTACGCGTATAAGCAAGCCTCTTCACAAACCAGTCGGCAGGCTGCAGGAACTTTTCCAGAAAGAAGTAATGCATGACAGGACTGCAAAACGGGATAAATTCTTTAGCCACCAACCAGTACTTCCGGAGTAAGTTAAATTAACATTTCACAAAGATAGAAACCTGAAGTTTGTGCAGACATCCACAAAGGCTTTGCGCTTGTCCTTTGCCTGCAAGCCACCAGTCACCACAGATCAATTGAAACTACCAAATATCAGTGATGGCCAACTAAGAAGATCTGGGAAAGGAAATGAGCTTACACTCGACATATGTTCTCGGCATTTAGGATATTTCCAGTTTCCAACGCCATAACGACCATGAGCACCCTCACTCCTTGAGCTGTGATTTGACATGCAAAAATATAGTTTCAAACTGTAACGACTGCAAAAAGAGAATGATGTACCATGTCACTGTAAATACTAGTCTACTAGACCAACCTTCCTATAAGATAATCTCCAAGTGGAATTGTGCCATCGACCCACTCAAGAACACCAGCGCTTGGAGTAAAAGGAATAACCTGAGAATATATATATGCATTATAAGGAGATTTCAACTTATTAAATGGATCAAATTTTCCCTGAAGGTAAACTGATACAGAGACATACCTTGTACGTGCGCACAGCTAATTTTCTCTTCCATGTGTCCCTGTTATTGTGTAGAAAGGTATTGACGAGGCCAAAAAACTGTTCCATAACCTGAAACAAATGGTACACGCTTTGCATAACTAGACTATTGTATATGCAATCTTGGCTAGGTCAGCATATTTTCAATTTGCTGCCAGTACAACGAGCAGTGACACAGATGACATATCAATATATCAAATTACAGACATTTCCAGTAAAACTTCTGAAACTCTTACAGCGTCTTGTCTAAGGTCATCATTGCCAGATTTCGCAAGTTGCTTATATTTTTGGCCATCAGAACCAAAGCATTCAACTACTTTTGGAGCATTTATACCGTTCATCACTCTGCATATCATCCAAAAGACATGGTTTCAAATAAGTTACTCTTCTAAACTAGAAATGTTCATTAAAAACGGTATATTGATTTAAAACGATTAATTGAGCAGGGACTTACGTAACCGAATCTGATAAACCTCTGAAAAAGGGGAACGTTCCTTCATTGTATTGGCAGCTACGATCGACAGGAATCGTAGCAGTGACTACAGGTACCTAAACTTAAACAAAAGTAAAATAAATATATGTTTGACACATACCTTAAAGGCAATGAGAAAAAACGCGATTAAATACATGTTTGACACATACACGTCTAAATATCTGTAGCAGTGACTACAGGTACCTAAACTTAAAAAAAAGTAAAATAAATATATGTTTGACACATACCTTAAAGCAATGAGAAAAAACGCGATTAAATACATGTTTGACACATACACGTCTAAATATCTGAACCAGAAGTTATATAGATAAAAACATTCTTGCAAGGTCATCTGATGAATTAACTCTTCCAACTAAATAAACAATAAAAAGACTACATCCTCACAAATCGTTCAGGGGACTATTGACCTTACTAGGAGTTGTAACAGGCTCAACATGGGAGCAGACAAATGAAATACTATGCTCATAAGAAAAATGTTGCTAAAAAATTAAAAAATATATATAGCTGCCAATAAATTATACACTGTATGTGTAGGTGGGCCTATCAAAATGACCCATGGAAGGTTTCTTAGTATCCAGAAATTTCCTATCTTGAGCATGTTGTGTCCTACGAGCTAATAATTATGCCAAAGCTAGATAAGAATGTAAAGAATAAATTAAAAAATGGTGCGCTTACAAGTTCCAATTGTTTCACACTACGAATTTCTCTTGGTAGTGCTACCCTTCTATTGGTATCCTGCAAAGGAAAGAGTTCCCCAAATGTTTCAAAAATGTTCAGCAAACAGTATAACAAAACATTTCCTTTAAACTCAATTATCATACCTCTCTCCTTGTTTCAAGTTCTGCAAGCTTGATGTAGATATCTACCAGCTGTTTCATCTGAAAAAAATCAATCAGGATTTGCTGATAAGTAATTAGGCAAAATGGTCGATGATGCATAAGATTCGGTGAAAATAAGGTTTACTTGTCTAATCATAGGCCCATGATGACGTGATACATCATGCAAGAGATGCTCTGCTGCAAGCTTTTTATCCGTGTCAACCACGAAAGAATTTCTACTGCGTTGGTTATCCTTGATACGGTCACCGTTTGCCAAAGCCAGAAGCTAGAACCAAAAGCAAAAAAAAATACGAGACATATATCCAGCATTTAGAAACATAAATTCGAGAAAGATACAAAGCCACTTGTAATAATGTAATTTTGATGGCATGCTACACAGCACAGCAGACGTTACTGTTTTCAACTTCTTTCTATAAATGCAGGATGTTACAGGACATTCAAGAATGGCGTGTGCACTTGCTAACCAGATAGAAAAGAAAAAACATAAAGAGTACAGAATGACAACATGTTCTTAGAACCTGTAAGATCGTATGGTACGGATGATCAATGGCCATTTTTCTGATAAGTGACACCAGAGCAGACTGCAATTAATTAATCGTAGAGATTAGCATAGCTGTCTTAAGTTTTCTAAGATTGCCAAGTAAAATTGCATTCCACCTGAAAGCTGTTAGATCCAGATTCATCTTTGGAACTGCCCAACCTTGAAGCAATTTGATAAACAAGTGGAACAAATTTGTAAGATTGAACCTGCAAGAACGTTTAGGGAGATAAAAATTGCTTAATTAAACAAGAAAAATGGAGACAAAATCAAAGTAGCAGCTAAAATCTGACTCCATTAGTCAAGTACCTCATTAATGGTGCTCAACATGTTATCAATAACATTTTGCTGGGAGGCAAGATTGAACCACATGGATACTTGTCGAAATACCTGTAGAAAGAAAAATTAGTTCCAACAGTGTTCCGCTAATTTAATGCCATAATGGAATATGCCGCTTTCTGCTAAATCTCTCAAATACGTTTCTAAAACGGCTAGAAAAAACGTTCAATCATGCCTCCCAGCAAAATTTTATTGAGAACATGAATCCCAAATAACAAAGCATATCAAGATCACCCTACCATGAAACTGGCGTATATAGGTATGAGCTATATGTCCCAAACCTTACACACCTAACACACCTATACACTTCCAGTAACTACTGAACTAGAGATACACTGTTCGACATCGACCTAAAT